AAAGTGTCATGCCTTTTTTTTCTGCAATCTTATTACACATGCTTGTTGGATAAATTGTTTTTGTTTTTCTTTATGTGCTATTGACAACAATTGTCATGGTAATCCCAGTAAGGTAATGTGTCCAAGCAAGCGACTCTGCGGGGGTTTTTCGGAAGCATGTGATTTTTCACGTCATCGCCCAGCTATTATGGTCGTTCTGTTTATCTACCCTGCTGCGAGGTTAGCTTCTCATGTGAGCAGTTTTGTGTTGCAGGCATACTGACCAATCGCAAGCCTTTATTTTGATGTTACTTGGCAAGTTGGGTATAGGCAGTCCTTTTATATGGACACATTAAAACTTTGCTATTCGCTAGCAATATATTGTACAAATCGCACTGGCTTATTGCCGTGTTATTTTTTTTTTCTTGTGGCAAAGTGTCAGGTTGGTTGCATTTTGCTTTGCCTAAGCAAGGGTGGTGGCTCACTTACACACTAATTTAATAGGGTGTTTTATGTCATTGTAATCCCAGTTGCCAATTACTTATCTAGAAACTGGCCAAATTGCATGGTTTAAATAATACAAAACAAAACAAAAACGCCCCGCTAGGTGTAGCTGTGAAGGTTATTTAGGAGACATTTGTCGTTCCCACTTGAAACTCAATACCATAAAAGTGCTGTTCTTCTATTTATAGCGTTAAACATTTATCAAATAGTAGGAAAACGGTCATTCATCAGTGACAGGCATGTCAGCATTACCTTCAATCCATTTTTGTTGGATGGTAGAGGTTATTGTGGGATCTGTGTTTAATGTTAAATCGGGTATCGTCAATTACTGTCACATGGAGATAATTATTCAAGCTGTGTAAAGAAATGAAAAAAATTTCCAATACCCGTCTTTTTGTAAAGAAGGACAATGTGTTTTTCTTTACCAAGATTGTTGGTAAGGTAGCAAGGCATGGTATTCCTTATTATTCCAAACATGTCAAAATTATGCCAAATTTAAAAATTAAATCATAAAAAAAAATCCTGCTTTATATGCTATGCGCTTTCAAAATATGGTATATACTAGGGCCAAATTGGCAACCTTCAGGAACTATATTTGTAATTCCATTCTTTCATTTATATTGGGTAGCTGATTTGCATTGTCTAAGCAGGTTGTGTAAATCGTTACACCAGTCTAAAAGAGTAGTTATTTGTTGTTGGCGGAGCATTGGAATAATTGAGACATTTACCTGGTCTGGTACCGGAAATCAAGACTTTCTGCATGTAAAAAACGAAAGCGCTCCATTTTGGAATTCGCTTGCAGGATCATTTTCTTGCGGTCGCGCCATGAGTGGTGCTGTTACACAGGTCTCGCTCCAATATCGACCCGCGCATTTACGCATGATTGGATTTTGTTTCGCAAATTCATGCGTCGAAAATACGCTTATTGCACAATCACGCCAAAATACCTGGACCCTCCCCCCCTTTTTCAGCAGGGAGGATATTTTTCCTTTTCATTGCAAACCTGTTTTTGGACCAGGTATTCCTGGCTTCAGCGGGGTGAATGTTTTACTATTATTTGGGTTGTGGACCAGGTCAAGCCTGGCTTCCGCGGGGGAATGTTTACTATTAATGGCAAACCTGTTTTTGGACCAAAATTGCAATCTTTTTGTCATTGACAGGGAATATATTTGCAATTGCTCTCTTTCGTTTGTACTGGGTAGCTGATTGGCATTGTCTTTCATTTTTCACTGCCCAGCTGATTTTTATTATCTAAGCAAGTTTTTAAAAATCGTTTGGACTTAAGATTAGTTTTTTACAATGAGGCAACATCCCAGTTTTATAGAAAAAGGGTGGAATAAGGTTGTTCCTGGCTGCAGCCGGGAGGATATTTTTTTTTCCTATTCAGGGCAAATCTGTTTGGACCAGGTATTCCTGGCTTCAGCAGGGAGAATGTTTTGCTATAAAATTGCGAACCTGTTTGGACCAGGTTAAACCTTGGTTCAACAGGGAGAATGTTTTTCTTTAAATTGCGAACCTGTTTGGACCAGGTGAGTCTTGGCTTCAGCAGGGAGAATGTTTTCACTATAAATTGCAAACCTGTTTTTGACCAGGTTAGTCCTGGCTTCAACAGGGAGAATGTTTTCACTATAATTGCTAACTTGTTTTGGACCACGTAGTTCTGGCTTCAGAAGAGAGAATGTTTTTACTATCAATTGGGAAAACGTGTCTTTGACCAGGGACACTTGGCTACAGCGAGGAAAATGTTTCACTTTCAATTGAAAAACGTGTTTTTGACTAGGGACACCTGACTACAGTGGGGAAAATCATTTATATTTGCCATAATGCTGGCATGTTACTGATTACAAACCTTGAATCAGGTTAGTCCTGGTTCTATTTTTGGATGAGGGACTGTTTGTATTTACCACAACGTGGGCATGTTAATGAATTCAACTCAATAAAAGCTAGGTTAGTCCTGGTTCGTAATCAGGGATGAATGTTTTATTTTTTCCACAAAGTTGGCATTTTATTTATCACAAACCCACTTGGGCGTGGCAGAAGTGTTTTTTCACTACAATGCTGGCTTGTTATATGCTCATGTTATAACCTGCTTGACCCAGGGTGGTCCTGGCTCTCAACGGGGTGAGTGTTTATATTTGCCTAAAATTTGGCACATTTATTTATCACAAACCCACTTGGGCCAGATTATTCCTGGCTTTCCGTGGTGTGAGTGATGGTTATTCGCCACAATGCTGGCTTGCTATGTGCTCATGTACCTGCTTGATCCAGGGTGGTCCTGGCTCTCAACGGGGTGAGTGTTTTTATTTGCCTAAAATTTGGCACATTTATTTATCACAAACCTACTTGGGCCAGGTTATTCCTGGCTTTTCGTGGTGTGAGTGATGGTTATTCGCCACAAGGTTGGCTGGTTGTTGCTCATGTACCTGCTTGATCCAGGGTGGTCCTGGCTCTCAACGGGGTGAGTGTTTTTATTTGCCTGAAATTTGGCACATTTATTTATCACAAACCTACTTGGGCCAGGTTATTCCTGGCTTTTCGTAGTGTGAGTGATGGTTATTCGCCACAAGGTTGGCTGGTTGTTGCTCATGTACCTGCTTGATCCAGGGTGGTCCTGGCTCTCAACGGGGTGAGTGTTTTTATTTGCCTGAAATTTGGCATGATTGTTTATCACGAACCTGCTTGAACCAGATTATCTCTGGCTTCACAGGAAGAGTGTTTTCTGCCCTCACTATCCTTTACCCGCTTACCTTTTTCCGGCATCACCCTCCTCTCCATGTAGTCTCCCTCACCCTCCTCTCCCTGTAGTAGTATATCCACTAGGTAAATATCACCATCTGGGGCAGGGTCTACACCAGCAGTGATATATAGGGGGACGGAGATCCCAATATTTCCGACGACTTATCTACTTCAATGGCAAATTTAATATTACGCATGCGTCTCATTTGTCATTTCCCATTTGCTAGGTATAGGTCTAGTAGCCCAACCCAATTTGCTATGTTTTAGATGCAGATAGATTTCCCTCAGGCATTCGGATTATTCGGCAAATAGCCTTACATTCGGATTATTCGGCAAATAGGTGACGCGCCCTCCCATGCTCTGATCTGGGGTTAAAAGATTTGGCTCCCTTCCCTTCTCCCTCCTTAGTGCAGAAAGGGTTTATTAGGAGTCGGTGTCTGGAGGCAACACTTGGTGTTTTGTGGGCGGGAAACAGTTTCCCATTGTTGCCACCGACCTTAAAGAGAAGTATTCTCCAGGCAGTCAAGGGCTGGTGCACTCGCAAGCCCACTTCCTGGATAGGATTTTTATAAGGGGATTAAATGTTGTTTAGACTTGTTTAAACAGAGTTAATCCACTAGAAAAAAATACCACACGTGACTTGAATACCTATTGTCCTGTTAACAATAGTTCTTCCGTTCCCTTAATCCATGTGGTGATGGTACGCCCACATAGCACGATAGCTAGTGCACTCTCATTCTGCAAGCAGAACGAGACAGATAGATACGCTTTACAAGCTTCCCCACCCACCCACTCCTCTCTTTTTTCTTTCTATCTTGACTAATTTTTTTTCCTTTCCAATTTCTGCTTTCCAGCTTTCCCCCGGAGACAGTCGTCTTGCGGGCAGGTGCATCAGCCGGGAAACAGTTTCCCATTGTTGCCACCGACCTTAAAGAGAAGTATTCTCCAGGCAGTCAAGGGCTGGTGCACTCGCAAGCCCACTTCCTGGATAGGATTTTTATAAGGGGATTAATTACAAAATATGTTTACCGCATATTCAACATCTGACCATTTTAGAATAATCAGGTACTGTCTCGTGCAAAATCATAAGCAAGAAAACTGCCATCCTCTCAACATTTCAAGAACATGTGTTGACAGACAGCTTTCGTTGGGGGATAATTGACTGTTTTCATTCGCCAGTAGCTGCAAATAGTTTATAACCAAACAATTTCCTTTTTGAAAAAGCTTTCACAGATTTAATTTGAAATTTGCTCAAAACATTAAACGGTAGAGAGCAAGACTTGGTATAAAATTGTTTTTTAATAGAAGATGAAACAAAATTTGGTTTTTTTTGTGATATCATTCATATTTTCATCTTACAGACCATGTTCATAAAAGACTCAAACACGCTGGCTTTCTACAACTTCACGTCAAATACAGTTGTTGGCTTGCAGCTGAAGGAGCGCGGTGGAAGAAAGAAATAACTTTCTATGCTCTCATTTTCAGACGTTTCATACCGGTAACTTTAGAGACGGTACTAAAGACTATTTGAAGATTCACAGAACTGCAAAGAATTCTCTGGACTATAGTCTCAAACCGACTTTCTTTTAATTAGCTCAACTTGAAATAACTCTCCGGACTTTTCGTAAGTGTCTGCTGTCGATTTTCCCGAAAAGGCTCGCTAAATGTACAGTGTCTTTTATATTATGATACTTTACTCATTCTCTTCTCAAGTTTATAGTCACAGTCGAACCTACATCATCCAGCTTAGCCAGCCGATTCTAACCAAGCAGGTGTCTATATTTGGCTCTGAAGCTTAAGCTTAGATGTGTAGCTTCTTGCTTTTTCTGGTAAACAGTAAGATGTTTTTCCATGAAAGATGATCGTCAACCATGCGTTTTTTCATTTCTGTGTGTTACCTTTTACTGATTTGGTATTATTAGTTGATAAGAACCACCAAAGTGACGTCATTCAAGTGTACCTATCTAGCTTACCTTCGGTATTCAGTTAACTGTTAGAACTGACCCCTTATAAGGCAAAGGAAAACCAATGGTTGGTGGCATTTTGCCTTCGTACATGTTTATTTATTTTAACAACACGAATCGATTGTTGTTCTCACAACCTGTACACTTTAGTGCTGCGTGAATCTGCCCCTAATCTCCTACTTGAATTTGGATTTTCTTTCAATTTTAAGCCTCGGCTCAATTTTAAGGTTACGGTAAACGTTTGCTGGATGAAAACATCATTTTTTCGATTTTTTCACATTTAAGTAGCCGAACTTTCAAGGCACACAATGACACCAAATTTGAAACAAACAGAAATTTTGAAAGTGGAAAAAATCCCATGTAAACGAAGGTTTCCATAATTTCTTTATCAAAACTTTTAGTTGAGGCCTGAAAATCTCTTGACCTGTTAAGCTGATTATCGTTGCTTTGCGGTTGTAGTCGCATTTCTCATTTACAATATCGCATGGCACATCCATATACCCAATGTACGGCCGTGTTTATTTAAACAGACTTATTGATCTTAAATCTTCAAGTGACTTGACCCGGATTACACTGTGGTTTACGAGTGTATCTTGCAAGTGCGATTAGTAAAATCCCGTTTTCTCCGGACTCGAAATTTCTCTACATGCAGGTACGAAAAAGCTATTATGTACCCAAGGAACCAATCGAATGGCTCGAAAATTTGCACACGGCCAGGGCAGACGTTGGGCAACCAAAGTGTCTCAAAATTTTTTTATTTTCTCTGGTCCGTCTTTTATACCCAAATACAGCTGCGGGAGGGTGGAACAATTATTTGCCAATTTTTGACAGGGTATAGTTTCAAGAATAGGAGGAATTTAAAAAATCTGAGACACTTTGGTAGCTTAGGACCTGCACTTCCTGCTAGTCTAAGTCAGATTCTGTTACCTCAAACGCAAGGGTACATAATAGCTTTTGAAGGTGGTACACTTTTTGACCAGTAAATTCGCATGGAAAATAAAATTTAACATTATTTGCCAATACTTTTTATCTGGCTAGATACGCCATAATCTTGTGCATCGAATGATATATAGTTTATCCAGATTCCTTGAGCCGTTTGGCCTTTAGGAAGAAAAAACCAATTTTCGTGTTCAAAACGTTTACCGTAACCTTAAGCTTACTATTTCCTATCTAGCATCGATTCGTTTCTCTGGCATCTTGAGCTCCTTTTTGGGTTCTTGCATCTTGAGCTCCGAATTGTATACAACATTAAAAACATGTCAAAACAGGGAGAGACATTGACAAGCATCTAGATTTTGAAAGATCGAGAAATGAAAAACAATTTTAATAAATTCATACATTGCAAAGAACGCGGATGATCAGACTGTAACGTACTTTTTTGTGCTAGTAAAGGAATGATGTGATAAATTTCTCACCCACACCAACACCAAATAAAGTTAACAATATTTATCACCAAAATCTTAAAATATTGAACCCAGGGTTTTTTGGATACCTGTTCATCTATTTTTTGATAATATTCATAAAATTGCCTGAGTGCTGTAAGTTGCGGGTAGAAACATGACTAATAGATATAGTTTACTTAGGAATGTCTAAACTTAGGTGCATGGGAGTCAGTCTTTTTGCAATTGCCAAAAGTGATCAAATTTTTGCGGAGAGCCCCTGCCCCCATCATACTCACGAGAATTGATTGACAACAACAGCAACACGGCAACAGGTGCTTGTATCGTTTTAGCAACCGGCCTAGGCGCAAACCACGGAGGGAGTTATTGTCTGTTGTTAACCTCAAATATGTAAATCATATACGGTAGTTATCTTTTTTTAATTAATTTTTTTTGCTTAATTTTTTCAATAGCCTAAAGCTTCTTGAATACCTTTTGTTTTCAACAATTATTCTGTTGCTAAAAATTACTACTATGTGATATGATTTGTGCAATCAAATGAACTTTCGGGGTATAAACTCAAGCTTTTCATTTCAGCAGTGTGTAAATAGGATAAGAATAAGCCCTTTTCCTGATCAGTTATGTTATTCTTTGAAAGATTTATCTGTAGATTTAGACTCGCAAGTGATAAGTTCTGGATTTTGTTACTGGTCTTTTGTTATATATTCTATAAATTTAAGGAAGTGATGGTGGCCTGTCTGTGTTTAACTGATGTTTATTTAATAAATAAACAGATAGATACTGACCTGTTTCGAGAAATCTTGAATATGGGAACTAATTTCATGTTTAGCTTGCTTTTGTTTACACCATGTGCAGTTAACTAGTTATATACTTTGATTATGTAAAAGTCTAATTTGTTATTACATTGTTTTGACATATTATAGTGAAATTTACCAAATACTATTTTCTGAAAAGCCAATGCAACATCAAGAAGATAGCAAGAGCATCTAGATATAACCAATCATCCAGCAATGTTGGCCCCAATCTTTACATTGAAGCTCAACCACAAAATCCATCCTCGTATGGTTGCAATTGGAAAGTATGATGGAAAACATCCCTGTTTAACTGCAGCAACAACTGCAAATAAGGTCTGTTTTACAATGTAAAAATTACAATATAAGAATCAGGGTCATTAAATTGGCATCTCCAAGTTATTTGGAGACAATGTAGTAGTGAATTTTGATGTTAGGACTTACACGTTTTTTTTATAAGGAACTTACCTCAAGGCCTAGTTCCAAAAGTTCCTTATTTGTAGAACTCAAATCATCAAATTGTAGTACCAAAAAAAGTTCCTTAATAATTCCTTAATTTTCACTGCACATCAAGGGCCATAAAAATAGTGCAGAAACAGGAAAAACAAAAATTTTGAATTTTGCCTTTACTTGTGGCTAGAACTCAGGAGCAAAAACACAAAGAAGGCTATGTAAAGTGAAAATCTCACTTTCAGTGTTTTGACTACAATAAGCCTTAACACTTAATAGAGAGAGGGGTGAGACAGCATATGCCGAAACTACTCAATGAAGCACTTGACACACAAATAGCAAACAATCTATGCGAGTATCGGCAGCAAATGAATGGAACTGGCCTTTTTAGTTCTTGATGCTTGCAGTTTTAAAAATTTTTCAAATTAAAAAGTTCCTTTGGGATTTCGTTTTTAGTATTATAAGTTCTTTAAATATTTCAGCCTTCTACATGTGGGTTCCTTATAAAGTGGTTCTTTATAAAGAAAGCGTGTATCTCTTTTTTCTTGTATCTTTTGCTTTTATTCTGTAGGGATTTCATATTATATATACTGTTGGATTTTTTGTCAGATCAACACAGTAAGCAAATTCTTTAAGAAGGAATAAGAAAAAAATGTTATGAACTTGCTGGTAGTTAATTTGAAAAAAATCCTCCTTTTCGAGTCCAGCTAAGAAAAGCCTACTAGGCTCATAACAATGAAGTCCATATTGCTGGAAGACAGTTCATTCATGCCATCTCTTATTAATCTTTCTAGGTTTTTATCCATAATCCTCACACAAGGTTGGATCAAGGAGGCAGACTTGAAACTACATCTGGCTCATCATCAGATGTTAGTTTATTGAACATAAATCAACATGTCAATGCTGTATGCACTGGATCACTGGATGAAAGCCAAAGGGACATCTTGTTTGTTGGCACACCAACCAACCTTCTGGCATATGATGTAGAAAACAATTCAGATCTTTTCTACAAAGATGTAAGTGTGTTTTCCTTAGTTTCACTGTTTCATAAATTGTGCTTGAAGTTAAAAAGTCCCAACCTACTAGGGTCAGCAACAAGGACTGAGATACTGGGGCCTTGCCCCCCTCCCCCAAAAAAACTTAAGTATTATAAGAATAATACTTTTATTTTGTAAAATGTAGCTGTTTTCCTTTATTAATCAGGGCTGCCCCCCCCCCTCCAAAACAAAATGTTGTATCCCAGTCTTTGGTCAGCATTGCTAAAGGTGTAAGGGCCCTATCTTTGCTTGTTCCCTTTTTCCCTTTTTTATCCTCAGTCTAAGCTATCCTTGACAGATGTCCTTTAGATTCACATCAAATCGGCCAATGATGGCACAATGAAAGTTTCTTTGGCTACACCCTTTTAATGTAAGAAAACACCCTTTTTCCCTGCTTCAAATGCCATTTTTTTCAAAAGAGAATGCCTATTACTAACTTTTGGTTAATGTAAAGGTTGTTTCAAAATCATAGAATTACGTTATAATAATACTTTGGTGCAGAGAAGCCACCTTAAATTCCATGACTGAGCCAAATTCATGCCTTAAGCCTTTAGCTTAGGAAGCAGATGTACTAGTAAATTGGCAACCTGGATATATGTTCTAGAGATAGCTCAGAGAAACCTAACTTGAAAACTGTATTGCAGCCCTTTTACTGAAGCCAACTGGATGTGAATTAACTTAGTTCAACTCTCATTGCCACTTTTTGGGATAAAAACTTCCCTCACTCCTTTATCATAGAATTTGTCATTTTTCATAGATGTATGGAATACTAAATTTTTCTATGTATGTTGGAAAATGTTTTTGTTCTAAATATATTGGCCCTGTTTCCTACAGCTTTTTTTTTCATCATATGTGGTTATGATGATTTTCTTGAACTGTTCTTAAATTTTCTAGAATTGTTTTGATCATAAGAGACCTGTTATTGCATCTTTAGTTGTTATTTGCATTCTATCTTTTTAGGTACCAGATGGGGTTAATTCTTTGCTGGTTGGGCAGATTGGCAGTGACCCAACTCCAATGATTATAGCTGGTGGTAACTGTTCAGTACAGGGGTACAATGCTGATGGAGATGACCATTTCTGGACGGTAATGTCACCACATCATGTTTTTTTTAATGATGCATAATTTTTGTATGCTATTCAAGTTTGTTTAGTGGTATGAATATTTTTAATGTGTGAGAAGGAAGAACCGCAGGATAGGCTGTCCGCCGGATTCTGTGAATCTTGCAATGAGATTTTAAAATGAAAGATATACAGGAACAAAGCAATACGACGACGAGAATCCAATGTCACAAAATAAAATTTTCAAAATAAATTAAATTTAAAGAATATACTAATATTTTTAGACTTTGAATTTGAATCAATAATTGAAGCAATTAATGGGAGTCATAACTCTTTATCTGAGTTAGGTTTGCTGCATGGTATGATTTGAAAATTTTAGGGGTCTGATTATTTGGAATCCATAAAAAAGATTTTTACATGCTTGAGACATCCCACCTCCCCTTACTCGCAACTAACTACACTCAAAACCATTCTTTTTTGGAAATGAGCATAGCCCCTCACTTGATCAGCTCCATGCATCAAAATGAAAAGTAATACAGAAAGATTTTTTCTGGATCTTGAATCTACATAGTTGTTTTCACTACAGAGAGTAAATTATCTAGAGTTCTGCCACTAACCTTTAAACACCAAGATGCTCAAAGTGTGGATTAAAATGCTGTCTTATTATCTCTTTTTCTTTTATACCTTAATTTTTGCTCCAGGCTCTACAAGCATACCCAGATCTCTCTCCCTAGATGGTGGAGATTTAGAAGCTCCTGCCAAAAATCCTCGAAGATCCTGTGTGCGTAGCATCCTAAACAGGGTCCTGCATTTTTAGGATCCTGTAGGATAAACACAATTTAAGATCTTACACAGGATCTTACCAAAATCCTACGGGATTCTAAAACAAGATCTTGAATAGAATCTTGCTTGGATCCAGACTGTCATTATAGGAACTTACAAGAACTAGATTAGGATCTTACACATAACAATTTCCAAGATCCTATTGGATCGTGACATGGATCCTGTCAGCATCTTGAATATAACGATAGGTTCCTGTAGATTCTTAAACAGGACCCTAATATGATATTTATATTATATTTACATGGTTAAGGTCAAGCATGCTTTGAAAATGTGATGCCCATCCCCTTTCCAATGTTTTTGGTTTGATGTTGGAATGTAAAGCAATTTTTCAATTTATGCTAACATTTTTTGTAGGTAACCGGTGATAATGTTTGCTCTTTGGCCTTGAGTGATTTCAATGAAGATGGCTACCCTGAGGTTTGTGTAAAGAGTTGCAGGACTCATACAATTTTTCTACATTGTTATGTTATATCTTGTTTTGATTCCTCGATTATGGATGAATCTTCAGAGCTCATTAGCTTTTAAGTGAAGAAGTAAAAGAAACTCTCATAGCTATACGAGTTTTTAGTATTCTTTATTTAAGATGATAATATTTGCTTCTAGCTTGTGTAAAATTTTGCGTGTCATAAATATCTTAAGCAAATGATAAATAATAAATAGTTAGTAAGGCACGCTAGAACGTTTCACAGTCGTTTTGACTGAGATGTCTGCAAAAATAAATACTTTCTTTATAAAATCCTTCTCTGAAATTTCTAAGAATTCAAGAGATGGGTTTGACATTGGTGCGCCAAGTAACCTAAAGTCTTTGATGGACTTATTGAGAATAACCCCTAAACATGTGCCCGGTTCCAACATCTAACCCCTTCCCCATTCAAATTTTTAATGTATGTATTTTAGTAGCAAAGATTCAAGATTGAACTGAAAAGAAGGGATATAAAATCTCAGCATCGTCTGTCCAATATTGTAGTTTTTTAAAATTTTCAACCATTTTTTCATATAGTTACTCGTTGGCTCAGAGGATTATGATATTCGCGTCTTTAAGGACGATGAGATTATTGCTGAGATGACAGAAACAGAGGTACGTAAATGCTTTCTTGTTGTGTGAGCTCCACAATCCGTCTAAAACAAAAGAAAATGTTCAGTTATAAATCTGAACGTGGAACGTAGCTACAGGAAAAGGGACAGACTGGTTAGTCCAAAGTACCGGGTGAATTCATCTTTACCTTCTTCAATGCTTGCCAAAAGTCTTGGAACACTGACGTCAATTTTAAAGTTCCAAATCAATCATCCCCCTCTCCCCTACAGAACAATGTTGGTTTACTATCAAACGGGTTAGGATTGTATGAAGCACTTTCTTTTGCGCTTCTTTTATGATATTTCTCTAAATTATCAACATTGTTTTAGGGGGAAGGGGGCGGAAGTAGTAATTTTTTCTTCATGAAAGAAACGAAAGATGTCAAATGAAGCGTGAATTGCTGGGTGTTCCAAGTACTTTTGGCAGGCATTTAAGACATTTAATTATAGCACGATAGGATTTTAAATTTTGAGTTGCTCCCTTTGTTTGAAATGTCTCGAGAAAAGTTAGTCGCAACCAGTCAGAGCCAGTCAGAGCCAGTCAGAGCAACTGCCTTTTATCGGCAACGTATACCCCTACACAGAGATCTAACTTGTAAAATGAACTTGAAAATAATACTTCTTGTTCTTCTGTTGTAAGATACTTTTTTCTATCTTTCAAGTGCCCGTTTTACCTTTTGTACAGCAGCAATCTCAAAGATTCATTAATATTTTGTGCGCATGTGTTACTGTTTCTGTCTATCCTTAAATAGTTATTTTCCCTAAACAAAATCATCCATATAATCGAAGACGGTAGAACATGGTAAAAGTACCCTTTAGTTGCTAATTCTTGTTTTTCTAATCCTTGATTTTGACAAACGTAAACTTTCGGTTTAGCAGCATCTAACATACTTGCTCACTACAATTTTTTATTCGTTTGGCCAACTGCCACTGAGCAACACAAAGCTACTGAGGATAAAGTTTCCCAAACGTCATGTGTTGAATGCTCCTCGATAAAAATCTCAATTTTCTTGGCCAGGGCCTTACAGCACCCGTTAGCTGCTAATTCACGTGTTTTCTGGGCTTTAGGCAAACGTGTTAGTCTCAGATCACAGTGCATCTTTGCATAGCCCATCATACGGCGGATCCATACCAAACATTCGCTTGCCTTGTTTTTCATTGTGATTCACCAACGCACGCACATGCACGTAATGTTTTCTCTGTTCCTCGAGACACCTCTGATCCCAAAGCCAATCGTAAAATTCGAAAGAGTATAACGATACTTGCAAGCTATCTGCATCAAACGAATTGCATTTGCTTGGGCACCGGTCGAATCCAATGGCAAAACAGACCCCTTCTTGGACCCTTCTTTCAAGCTGCGATGCATAAGGCTCCTTCGTAGTGTCAATCGTGCTGCTGGACAAATAGTTACCGTTCTCCTTATAGTGTCTGGCGTGAATCGCTATTCGTGGCTTGGGGATCTTAAACGCAGGTCCAATGCCCTTAATGTATGCGGTAGTTTGTTGTGTATGTCTCCTATGTTCCCCGCTCCACGTGTCATCAGGAGTCATTTGCAAATTGAATTCGTATTCATCTCTGTGAAAGTACCAAACATAATTGCATATCACACTAAACTGGCACATGCAATCATCCAATTCACTTCCTTTAAAGTAATCATTTCTTATCTGCATGCTTTCGTTAAAAGCATGCAAGAACGTTCGCCCCAGTCGCTTGGCAACATAATTTCGCATTTCTATTATATGCTTCACTTTGAAAATTACAGGGAAATAAGACATGCACTGCAAAGCCTCTTTTTCACCCAGCAAATATTCAGTGACGTCAGACCAGCATTCCCAGTGCTGTTGCCAAAAAGGTTCTCCTACCCGCGCCTGCACAGTAGGTTTGCCCTTGTTAAACAAAGCTTGTGGGGTCACAACAGATACGAACATCGTATCTGCATCAACAAACCCAACATATTCGGCACTAACATATTTTTCTGGATAAAAATAATCCAAATACATACGGCGGCGCTGTTTGCTTTGGTAGAAGTTTGCGTTTTCTGGCTTTAAGTAAACAGTGTTCGGTCTAGGCCATAAACTCGACAAGCGTTTACCTGTTACATGATCCAGTTCACTTTCGTCATCTAATACCAGTGTCAAATTCAAGCAATCTTCCGGCCAGAATAACTCAAGACTCTTTAGAAACCAAGATTCGTACAATTTTACGAACACTGGACTGCTGTTCAAGCGAAGAGCAAGCTCCAAGCTTGGGCATCCTTCCCATAGGCCATCCTGTTGAATATTCGATGTTTTTGTCGTTTGGAAGCCTCGAAACAGCTTAAGTTTGTAGCAATTTAAATATATTGTTATAAAGAGGAATGAACATGAAAATACGAAGAAACCAATGATTGAATGTTTCATTAGGTTTAACTATGTGTTGCCTGCAAATATAAAGAAACTAAATTCACTTCGTTGGAACGAAGATGTCCGCATATCAAACCTAAAACAAGTGTGCTGAAGCCAAAACAAGCGAAAAAAGCCTCATCAGCGATGTCTCATTCGTTACTCCATCAAAACACGTCTCGTTGCTGAGCAGACAACAAAGAACCAGCTCCGATATCGAGGTTTCCATAAATCCTCATCAAACAATAAATTGTCTCAAAGAGCTAGAAATATGATCTTTCCAGTTTGCAAAGATCTTTCATCGTGTTATCAGACGTAATCCAATTGGTTTATCACGGGTCACAAGCGCAACAAGTCTAGCCCAAAAATCGAATTTTTGATTGTTCCAATGCTTATTGCGTTACTTTGCCAAATTTCTTCCTCATTCTCTAAAGGCGGTTTATCTTGCTTCCTTTCGCGGGCCTATCTTCAAAATTTTTACAGGCTATCTTTTCTTTTCTCTTCTTTGTAGAAATGTTTACGTTTGAGACCTGTCTATCTCATGATAATTTCTGTAATTCTACCAGGATCGTCGGAACGAAATTTGTTTTCTTCTGGGGAAATTGAAGGTGGGCGGGGAGGCTGGCTGAAAAATGAAAGAGTCAACTTGTAATAGAGACACTAATTTTACTCAAGGTCATTCTCGCGTTTATGCTTATATTTGTTTATGCTTCTCTTTGTTAGGAAATATTAGCTTGTCGCGCTTTAGTTTTTCATGTTTTCCGGTAACGTAATATTTTACATGCCCTTTTACCCTACAAGGTCCCCCCGCGTATCCTAATATATTAATCACCTCCTACTCATGTTTTTCTGTATTCAAGTTAAATACCGCCTTTTTACTACGGCAAAAGCAATATTGTAAGTAGATTAGTAAGAGTCACCGTGGAGACTTTATAAAGAGTAGAAAAATGTATCATGGACACTTGTAGACACACTTGGAGACTCGCACACACACACAGAACGGCCATGGATTGAAAGGCTAAGAAAAATGCTGATGGCATTAAATCCGAGTGGCTTGTGACAGCATTCGAGGTTTCGTTTCAAATATATTCAAATAATTTAATGGCGTAACAGTGCTTGTAAAAGGCTGTTTGGTACCTAAGTTTTAATATTGTATAAACGAAAGTCTTAGCTTTGGATGGAACAAAAAGAATAGATTTGGTGTGTCAAAACGTGTTATTAATTCGCTCGGTATCAACAACAAATGGTGTCAGGAATTTTATAATGTGCCAGCAAAGTTAGGTGCCAAAAAAGATGAAATAAACAATGTTGGGCCTAAAAAGATTGTTAAAGATAAAAGATACAAGAAATTTTGGTGGAGCAAACAGTAGCGTATCTGGCGGGGGAGGGGGTGTAGGGGGTGTGACTCCTCCCAGTATTTCATGAGTTTGTCGGTAAACCTTCAGTTGGTCCACCAGATCCTTAGTTTGTCGGTAAAATCGCCTATCGGTAAATAAAATAGCACCTAAATTTTTCCTCGTTTATGTCTTCGTCTGTAAATTCTACTGTCGATTACCCCCCATCTCCAGTGGCGGGGCCAAGGGGTGGTTTTTAGGGGGGGTAATTACCCCCCACTATTTCTGAAAACATGATCTACACATTTCTTTTCGTTAAAAAACGGATTAAAAAACGGTGGGTGGATCAAATTTCCTAGGGAAAGTTGACCTGGTCCACAGCACTGAAACGAGGCAAAAGGGGCGTGGTCTCACTGGCCGCGCCCATTACCCTCCCACTCTGTAATAGCTGGCGCCGCCACTGCCCATCCCCCTAGTCTGGAAGGTCAAGCTACGCCACTGGGAGCAAGCGCTTTTATTTTGTGATTAAAAGCAACATTTGCAATGATAAACTGCTATTTCAGTTGTTATCAAGTTTCATTCTCTGTAACTTGTAAACATGTCTGCAGACCACATTTGACGTGCCTACATTCTAATACAGTACGTACGAAGCTAGTCATGTTTAGAGAACCTCGACCCAGCCCTTTTTGAACAGGGAGAATTTAAGGCCTAAGTCTTTTTAGGTGGAACATAAGTAACTCCGTTAAGGTTGTTGCCTTCTTTTTGTATCCTCATGGCAAAGTGTAAGGCCTAATGTAAAAAATGGAGACAAGATACAATTAGGTATTTAAATCATCCGATGGTTATCCGATGGATCTTATTTGTTTTTCAAATACTTTGTACCATAAGTCGAAATTGTTCTTTTTTCTTTCAGGCTGTCACATCCTTGTATTCTTTATATGGGAGTAGATTCGGTTATGCCCTTAGAAATGGCACTGTTGGAGTCTACGATAGAAGTGCAAGATACTGGAGAATCAAGGTAGTTCACCCCCTCTTTATTTAGGAAACTAACTAAAGAATGAATATGTTTCCCTCTTATAGTGACTTGATCAGGGGGGTTGTGTGTGAAAAATCATTGAATAGTTTGGCTTGAAATTCTAAGTTTTCGCTATTCCCATCCGTTGGTTGCCCACCGATATTCCTCACTCTTCTTATTTATTGATTGCCCCCTTTCTCCCTCTTCCCCTCTCTTTCCACTCATTGATTATCCTTATAAACCCATCTTCCCCCCTGTTTCCATTTATTGATTATCCTTATCGCATATCTAAGACAATGACAAGATTGCTTCTACAATGTTAAAAACCACATCTTCTTAAAACCATTAGAAAGAACCCTGACTAGACCGCTGCATTCTTAACAACTTCCAGAAAAATGACCATCTTTTCTAAAAAACAATGACAACAAGGGTTTGGTTTGGTAAATGAAATTATTTCATTTTCGTGGATGTTCACAAAGATTGTCAATGGTGTGAAAACCGCTCTTACTGATCTCTTGCAAATTTTTGATCGAGAAAACGTTGCTACTGATTTACAACTTGTCTCGTTTTACTGGGAACCATGATAGAATATAAAGAAATATGGATAAAGATAGTGCTTAAAATGAAGCTAAATCTGACAGTGATTACAATGATAAAAGATTTCAAAACAAAGAAAGTTGTAATTTGAATAAAATTTCATGGTTTTCGTGAAAGTCCTTGGATTTGAAACATTTTAGCCTTATCCTAAATAACACATAAACAAGATTAACTAAAATTTTCAAAATGTTTTCCTTTAAACATCTGAAATGATATACAATAGACTATTTTCAATTTTGCCTGGACCAAAGCGCCTTTCAAAAATGTTGATTTGATCGACATTTATCATATATTTTATGATAAATGTCGATCAAATTTGTGGCTTTCATGCTCTTTTTTATCTAAAGAAGAGTTTTGCTCGAAAATGGACAAAGTCGTTATTTAAATATAATTATAATTTAAAATATAATTTTTTTGTCATTTTTTATGTAGAAGATTTGTCTCAGAAATCTAATCTGCTTTTAGTCCAAAAACCAAGCTGTGTCGATTTACAGCTTTGATCTTGATGGTGATGGTGTTCCAGAATTGATCACTGGATGGTCCAATGGCAAGGTTTGTTTCTAGTATCCTGTAATCCATTTTTGACGCTATTACGTTGATCAAATTCTATTGTTCATGTAGCAATTCTCCCATTTTTATGGTGAAATAGAAGCATATCAAACATCTTAATAGGGACGCCATGGCTGAGGGGTAGGGGCGCTAAATCTACGGGAGAGCTCCAAATATCTGTGTAAAATTTTGCTTTTCTGTAATTTTTTATATATATTTATGTTTAGTCTTTGCCTCCCCCCCCAAGAAGTGGTCTCCTACTGCATCCTTGCATCTTAAACACTTTACTTTTAGGAAGGGGTGTCCGAGTACCCAAACTTCTTTCTGACTCTTGGGTCCCTATCAGAGTTCTTGGTCTAGAGTTTTTGACCTGTTACTTCAGGTCCAAGCATATATGTGTTATTTATGTACGATCTACTTTAAAAGTACCTAAGTTTTTTTGGGTTTGCAACCAACCCTTTATTTTTATCTGGGTCTGTCTGAATTTTTGTGGTCCGACGTAGACGCCCTGTAAAAGAGAGCATTTCAGCAATGAATACTGATCTGAATATGCTTACCTTCACCAGGTGGATGCCAGAAATGACCGCACGGGTGAAGTTGTTTTTAAAGATAATTTGGGGAGTGCAATTTCCGGAATTGTGGACGCTGATTACAGATTGGATGGAAAACAGCAACTTATCGTGTGTTCTATGGAAGGACAAGGTAAGGCCTTTTAGCGGTGTTCAATTGAGTTGGGACATTTCTAAAATACTAGTGACGTAATCAGAATTTCTTCTAAGGGTTGCGAAATTGAATTTTTTTTGTATTTTTTATGACTTGTTATGCTTTTGGGTTTAAGTAAAGCCCTCTTATTCTAGTTTTCGACCGGCTTGATTATGTGGGCAATAATTTGATGGGAAGAAAATGGGAAGGGAAAGGGGAGAGGGTAACATGGCGCTTCCTTAGCTCTCCTTGCCTAATCCCTCTTTGGTTAAGTCATCATGCACCCACTTTGTTCCCTCACTGTATATATGAGTGTATTCTTATTAAGCAGAAATGTAGTTGATCAAAGAGAATCAGCTTGTTATACAGAAGGTGACTGTCTTAATCTTGATCTGGTGGTTTAAAAGAGAGAATGCATGATTGAATAAGGGTTTCAGCTTGGTATCCCAAATTTGCCAAATCAATCATACAAGGTCTCCTTAGTATAACTATCACTCCCAGGAACATCCTTTTTCTTGGATCTAAAATCCATAAATTCATTCTATAGAACTCATAAATTTACGTTTTTTATTATTCAAAAGTAAATTTCATTTGTTTTGTCATTGCTTTTGCCCATTGCTGCACTTGCCAAAATATTTTTACCCGTGTTCAGAAAATGACAGAATTCCCCCCAGCCCTTGGTGATATCGACAGAAAGGATGTCTAAATACTTCCCTTATGGATATGTCATTTTCGTGCAATCTGGAGAAATTCATATTCTTACTAAAGCCGTATCTTGTCTCTATGTTATATCTAGTACGAGGCTACCTGCCAGCTGATTCTGAGAGCAAAAATGTTGTTGTTGATATCAACGCAGACCAGGATGCATTGCGTGAATTGGCAATTAAGAAGCAAAATCTTCTTACCGAGCTGAAGAATTACTCAGAAAATGACCGGGTAATTTTTGATATTGTCGTTATGTTACAGTCTTCTTTTTAGCTATTGCCATGCCCTAACAAGTAATCTTTTTTGTATGTTAACATGGATTCCAGAAAAATGCCCACTCTTCCATCGGCCCATGAGCTTGAATTTTCAAAACTGTTTTCAAAAAACTACGAAAACATGGCGTGGTTTTATTTTCGTAACGAAACTCTTCTGTTTTCTAAGACTTCGTCCTTGTCAGCCACGTGAAAGCTATTTTTACAAGGCTCTGTAGAAGCGGTCACCTTCCTGTTTCTAGTCTATTTTTTCCTTTAGCAGTTTGTTTAGCCAATCGTATTTATTAACAATACTTTATCCTCAAGTTAGTTTTTTCCAATCCTCTAAGCTTTGATTTCTCCAACAAATATTAAGTGACACGTGAACTAAAAGACACCCACCCCCGAGGGTCATCAGTAGTATGGTTTCTTAACTTTTTCTTGTCTACTTAGGGTTCAGTTTCTTACAGACGGTTTTTTACAAAAAAATGAGTATACCATCACCGCACTATCCCCCATGCATCGAGCGCAAGAACATCTTAATAATTACCTATTACCTGAATTCCAGGTTGGAAAAAACGTCAAAGCAGGAGATCATCATGCCAGTGTCTCTGGTGTTGGGATGATACCAGCAAACACTCAGCTACAAACATCACTGAGTGTATCAACTGGCGGTGACGGTGTAAAACCTCATGTAGATCTCACCATTCAGGTATGTCGTGTTTTGATATATGGATTGACCAGTGAATATACAATGTTGCTCCGCCTTTGAAGAATCTAGAGGCAGTAAAATTGTCTGATACCGTTTGTAACAGTGATTTTGTATATGGGATTGAAGTAATCGAAGTATTAAACATAAATGCGATGGCATAGGCAAAGATCTACTTTTGTTATATCATTCCCAAGCTATTTGCATCATCATTAATGGGATTGTATCATAGATATTTTTAGGAAGATGCTATCCATATGCTTTAAACTCTTTTTTTAGACTACAAATGAGACCGTGATTCGCAGTGTCCTGATATTTGCAGAAGGAATTTTCGAAGGAGAAAGCTACGTTGTCCATCCGCCATTAAACAAGCTCTCCCCTGTCTTGCACATTCCGATTTACCCGCCAAAGGATGTTACTGTCGACCTGCATATCAAAGCATTTGTTGGATACAAAACAAGGTATGCCGATGTTGAGTTTCTGTGGTGGGAATATAGCCTTTAAATAGCTTGAAAATGGGAAATAAGCGATTTGTCACATTATATTAAATTGTACAACACGGAAGCCAAGTATTTTATTGTACCTATGACATGGGCTCCCATGCAGGTTGGAAAATGGTTGGGCCAAGGGAAAATTTCACAATCATAACAAAAGGTTTTGAAAAAAGCTTTTCTATTTTGCAAAAAAAGTGGGGGGCCATGCCCCCGGCCTTATTTTGTCGAAGGCCCTGTATGGTGGGGCCTGACATTGTTAGGAATTATATTGGTGTGAATATTTGACACATGCTGGACCAAAGAGGCCCAACAGTGGTTTGGAAAATCAATGGTTTTCATTTCCAGTTGTTGGCAGTGAGTTTAGCCTATTGGGGCAGTTACCCCACCAATCAGTATTTTCAAAGATACCTTACTTTGCGGCCTCTAGTTAGAGCAACATCTGGCAGGGAGCATGTTGACATCATTTTACATTTGTACAGGGTGTTTACTTAAATGCACCGAGTTATGGATTTTAATCTGCCATATTGTTGGTTGAGACTGTGATTGTTCACATTAGGCTAGGCTATCTCGTACTGGTTTTGACAACAGGGTCCCGTTGTGAAAATGGTTACTGAGATCACACGAAACTTTAGTGACCACGCCAATGGCAAATGACATTGGCACAAAACTTGAGTGATCACGCAATTGAAACGAAGTAGATAGTACATATTTATAAGTACTCAAGGCCATTACATAAATAAAAAACTGCTGCTTGCCCAAATTTTAACGTCAGTTAATTTATATTATCAAAAAGATTGTGGAATATTCAATACAAAGGTTTTTTATTACTATCCGAATTGGAGCGAAAATACACTTACGAGCAAAAAGTATTGGGTCAACTTCGAAATTTCGACGACTTTTCTTGCAATAAATGTTGAAACACTTTTTAAAAAGTCTATTGTCATTAAACAAAAACAGTAGCTATTTCCATTAAATTTTCGCAAGACATTGTTGATGTTTCGAACCTTTTATGTACCCCAAAAAGTTATAAAAACATCAGCCATAAAAATCCCTAGAGTTCTCCGTACTTAGTGTTAACTGCAGAATTTAATTTTTATACTGCTATTTACAGTCAGCCATGGTAATTCTCTCTTTAATTATTTATCTTTGCTTCTCTGATATCATTAAAGCAATGAGTTTTATTTTAGCCACCAATTCCATGTTTTTGAGCTGACAAGACAGCTACCAAGGTATGTTTTGTTGACATCGACTTTTGATTTCACTTAGCTTGGCAGGTGAAACACTCTATTTGGTTTTCATCGATCAAATAAATCATTCTTTTTTATTTCTTTAGTCTAATTCGTTTTCTTTGATTCATAAATATTTTAGTATTTTCAATTCATGTCATTTACTCTGCGTTTTCTTACCAATTGTTTTTGTTCTCCTCACTTATTTTGGATTTTCTCGACTAATTTGCAATTAATCGAAGCACATTTTTCGAAGTAGATTCATTTCCTTACTCATGTGCATATAATGCCAGGCAGCAGGGGGGTGGAGTCTGGCCAAAATTTTGGCAAAAAGTTTTGATAAGTTGAGACATGGCGAAAATTTTTAGAGAGTGTTAAAATAAGTGTGTTAGGTAAATGATAGATTCCTGCTTGAAGATGTTAATATTTTCTATTTTTGTGGTAAAGTCTGGGCAAAACAATTGCTCCCCACAGTTTCATACAGCTTCCCGCTGCCCCCACACTGCTCCCCATTACTCTCCACTGCTCCCAACTGCTCCCCACTGCTCCCAACTGCTCCCCACTGCTCCCAACTGCTCCCAACTGCTCCCCACTGCTCCCAACTGCTCCCAACTGCTCCCTATTGCTCCCCACTGCCCCCACTACTTTATAAATCTGGTGTTCGTAAAGGGGACAAGAATTGTAAAGAATCACTATGATTGCAGCTAAAAACTCAAAGGAAATTCTAAATCTAGATTAGGAATAGGCAACAAGTGAGAATGGAAGGCAAAGGCCGAGGATCGCGAGCAAATATTTGCTAAATTTATTACAACTATGTTAGAGAGTCAGTCTGGCAACACTGTGGTTATGATTTGTTATACATTAATTGAAGCACATGTTTGACAAATTTTAACCTGTATAGCAAACGTTACGCAAAAAAATTAGAAAGATATTAACGAATTTTGTTCAAATGTCCAGGACTTTCTCCACCAAACATCCTTCCAATGATTCTCAAAATTCATTCAATGCTAAACTTTTTTTTTGGTTTCTATTTTTGTAGGTTCTCATTATACTCCTTCTGCCCGGACGGTTACGCCGAACCGAAATCACATGTGAAATTCACCGTCCACGAGAGAGTCAATAGAGTAAATTATTACGTTAATTTTTATTCAATATAACTATAGATAGATCTACATATTTGAAAAGCATCATCCTGTTCAAATCTTTATATTTTTATTGCTTTGTATTTACGTCGTGTTCTTCTTATTTTGACCCTTTGTGAAATCATTGAAAAGATGGTATAATAGGGTGAAGTTCCTTTCCAGTTGATTACATAGTATGATTAAGAAGTGTGACGTAATCCTACTTTCAGATTATTCGATGATAATTATTCAGATTTTCCAGAATTCAAATATTCTGGAGCAAGACAATCAGATAATAATACTTTTGCATGGGAACTAGTCCAGCCCCTCTTTTACTATCTCCCCCCTGCCCTTTCTTTGAACCTCTCTCACACCCCTCTCTTCTAATCATCTGTTTCCCGGTGACCCCTTGGATCAATGTTTCTTACAGGAGGCCATGTTTACAACTTACAATTCTAAACTTATGTCTCAATTGTTAAAACGATATAAGAAAAGTTGGTTACAGTTTTCTAAAACATATGAATAAAACGTAATACCAAAATATATAACGGTGAATCATTTTTTTCTGCAAGCATGTCATTCAATTCTTTTTGAATAAGTAAAATGTCCTAGAAGGTTTTATTGATCTAGGTAGAGTTTTTTTCTCTGTAGGCGAAGCAGTTTCTTTCCTTTTTTCCTCAGACATCTTAACCATCATACACCTTCCAATTTTCTTTATTTCTGAGAACAAATTCCTCATATATTTTATCATTTTCATTATGTAGGTCGTTATGTGGATCAACCAAAATTTTCTCCTGCCGTCGGAAGTGGTTGCGGAGCACCAAGCTTTGGATGTGAAATTTCTGTCATTGCGTACTGAAACTCCGTTGTTACTGAAGATGACGTCAAATGGAGAAGTAAGTTGAAGCCAAATTCTGTGTATAATTTCTTCAACATTTTTAAACGTTTGACCACCATTTCCCATTTCCAACGGCTAAACCCTTTCTGCTAATAGCTTTATCCCATCTATCTTGTGGTCGATTTCTACTTGTAAAGCCTGCAGGTTTCCTTCTACACTTTTATATGTTATCATTTACTGAAGCGTTTCTCTGTATCTTTTTCGTTAACACCCCTCCCCCCTTCCACACAAACACAGTCAGACCGGTAAACAGTAATCTTCATTTGAATTTTTCTCTTGTAAGTTACTCTCACCACGATTTTCAGTTCAATCTGAATATTGCCAGAAAAACTATTGATAAGTAAATCAAAACAATTTGAATTCGACAGCACAAGATTACCTTTGGATTGAATATGTTTGTAGTATATTGAAACTAAATTTTTAATCGTTACCTAGGTAACCATCCAAACCGATAATCTGGATTTAGCTGGCTCATTTACCCAAGCATTGGCAGGTTTTCTTGCTGTGACCGTGAGTAATCATCATTTAAAACTCGCATAATTCTGCATGTTTAATTAAGACAGTTCTCGTTCAATTTTCATAATCTGCATACATTATATCAATTATCATATGCATGTTGAGTAATACTCCAAATATGTTGTGTTTTTAAAACCTTAGAATTTAATGATTATGTATAAAAATTCAGTTACAAAGCACATAAACACCGTTCGTTAAATATTTATTTCATGGAGTCTGTGTGTATTTTCTGTTTTGTCTGTAATATTTTCCTTTTAACCTGAGTGTTAGAAATTTCAATGATGCAAAAAGTGTGGCTGACTAACAGAAAGATTAGCTAGCCAAAATGAGATGAGTAATGCATTAGGCATATGCGAGAGTGTTTTGTTATTGTATAATTTGAAGATCGTTAGTACCATTTCGAGCTGGAATATGTTAACTTCCGTGATGATAAAAATGTTCACTTCATTACTCTAAATTAACACTCTTCTGTATTTAACGTAGTTTCAATTACTTCGTGTTTATCAAAACCGCAAAGTTTATTTAAGCATCGTTTAAAAGCAGTTCGATTAACTGCTTGATTAACTAATTCTTGTTGTTTTATTTTATGCATTGAAAAATAGAATTTAACTGGCACTTTCGCATAAGATATTTTATAACTGGTCAATGACTATTGATTATGTTGAAGATGATTAGAAGTGGAGGTCATTAGTACGAAATAAGAAAATGGCCTAAACCATTTTGAATCGCTGTATTTCAAGAAACAGAAGAGAGCATTTCGGCGTTCTTATGTTATGTTTCATAGTTTTGATATTGTTCAGTTTTTGTCCCTGATTTCTTCACACTTTCCTCTTTTCACCAATTTTTCTTTGCTTTGCTCTATTTTATTAATTTGGACACATGATAACTCTCTGTTTTGAAGTATTAACGTTAATGATTGCTTTTATTTATGATCAAAATTTTTTGCCATGTCAAAAGCAGCACAGTAATGAGGTGCAATATATTCAATCCAAAAGGACATATCAAGGACATTGAAAATGGGGTGGGGGGTTAGCTGCCCCGGAGCAGAGTAATCAAATATATCCTGCTCCTGTATCAACCCCCTTCCCAAATTTAAATTTCTTTCCGATTGCCCTGCATGTTAACTATAATTTTCATGCATGTCTCTCTATTTGCAGGACCTTCAATCCACAATGGACTTCCCTGATCACTTAGAAGAACTAAGGAACATTCTAATCAAGGTATTAATATCATAGATATAGTCTCAGCCGTTCCATTCCAGTCTCTATGTTTTGCCTAGGTTCCTTTGCATCTTTTATCACTTAGCTATGGTATATGACCATTCAGGTCGCTAGCAAGCAGAAAACATGGCGGTCATACGGCCATTAACTGTTAAGAAGGGCAATGGAACAAAGAATCTTAAGTGCAAACATCCGAACCCTCCCCCCCCCCTTCCCTTGCAGTTAATGTTTTACCGAAAAGGCCTTTCATAGCTTATGGCTATTGTCCAGAGCAAGGATGAACAATTTAGCATTTTTCTTGAATCCATGTTTTGTGGTAGTGATTCAAATTTTTTCGCCGTTTTCAGTGTGTTCATCATCAGCCTTCATGAGACTAAATTCACAATTTTGGTAATTATTCTGCATTCATCAAGGCACAGTTAATGTTAACAGATTAAGAATCCTTTTTGAGACAGTTCTAAATTTCTTGTTTTCATAGGTTTTGAAATATAGGTCGATTTTCATAGGTTATGTGTTTTTAATGCAGGCGGATGAACTTCACGGTGTTAGAGAAAAGCTGAACGCAGAAATGGCGGATCACTCAAATCTGATTAGAAGCCTTGTTGTCAGAGCTGAAGACGCTCGGATGATGTTTGACATGTAAGTTATTGGACTTTCTGTTTAAATTCCTAAAGATGATCTTTAAGCCGACAATAAACGTCACAGTCTGTTTGCAAATCATACGCTGTGCCATCTAAGTAAACACTTTCGTATCAATCGTAACATCAACGCCAGTTTTGATTCATCAGTAGATCCGTCCTAGTGCTTTTCTTCTTGATTTTATTTGCTATTTTATACCTTACTTTAAATTTAACTGAAATTATAAAATAACTCAAGATCTGCTGCTTTGTTTTAGGCCCAACATGAGAAAGGGTTACATGGAATTATTCGATCTGAACCGAGATTTGATCAACGGCTACCAAATTAGATGCAGTAATCACGAAGAACTTCTTGCTTGTCTCAAGATTGTTAATCAGACCATGCAGAGAGCTGGAAATTTGAGAGGTGAGTCAAATATTTTGTAATGCATAGATAAAACATACCTCTATAGTATCAATGTTTTATGGTGGGAAAAGAACTCGATTAAAACCGGTGAAATTATTTAATTCTTGAAAAGGGGCAAAAATATGGTCCAAATAAGACTGCGTTGCTCGAACTTCAAATCACAGCCACCCTGGCCGCTGCGCCCTGTATACTAATTGTGTGTCATACTGCTTCAAGTACCATCAAAATGAAGAAGAAATTTATATTACCATAAATATAATGGAAATTAAAACTCGAAGAAAATTAGTTAGAGTCCAAGAGGAGAGCTGGCTAATGTCTCCCTTTCTTGCAATCTTGAATTGTATGATACCTCGATAAGGCTCCTGTTAAATATTGAGGTCGAGCGAAATAAACTACACATTTTTATTCCTGAGATACTAAGCAACGATGTGGTCTTTTACATGTGTATGGACTTATTATTTCTTGATTTGTATTTTATGACAATGTTACTTTGTCTATGTATTTCAAAAAATTTGTTTATTTTACCTTGTTTTGTTGATATTTCATTCTGTGAAAAAAGTCAGAAATCGTTTTGTCTCTATTTGTGATCTAAGGGTTCTTAACGTAGAGTTCCCATAGCTCTTTACAAAATGCAAAGTTTAATTTAGCAAATTAATACCCCCTTTGAGTACAAGAATATTTACCCTGCAAACAAAATTTTGTGTATCGGTCCCCTTGACACAATTTCTCCCCATCCTTTCCTTTTCACCCTGCAGAGGTATTTCTTTTCGCCATATATCTAAGTGACATCACAGAAAAATACTAGCTCGAAGAGGAACACACGTTTGAAGATATTTCCATATCTATAACCCTTTTTTATTATTACCAGCCGATTGTGTTTCTGTTATTTTAGTTGGCAAATCCAAATCGGCAATCATCGCAGCATGTCGGAATGCCATTAAAGCCAACAATGTGAATGCACTCTTCAAAATAATCAAATCTGGAACTTCATCTGCGTAGCGACGTAAAAAGGACGTTGAATTATCATGCCTTGTATTGTCAACTCACATTGGAAGCACCGTGTAAATAAAGTCATCTCTTTTCTGCGTAGAATATTCTTTTCCAAAGCGTAGCAATGGGATCATAGTTAGTTGCTAACTGTTTTTGACTCGAAGTCCTCGTTTAGAAGTTGCCTCGTTTAGTTTCGTTGTCACCCTCGTACATTTCACAATGTTTCTCAAAATTGTGCACTCTAGCAATTTCAAATACCTGTATAGACACATTCTTATTCCAAACAAACAAAGCTATATAATATTTGCATTTAACTAGAGCCAAGATGTTGTCTAAAACCTCAAACTTATACTGCTCAGGTTGATGACAGTGAAATAAGTTAAGGCTGTGGACCTAAAACATCCATCATTATCATCCTTAGTAAAGGAAATTATAATTCTACTTCTCTGGCCGTTTTATTTGCTTCAATCTTCATCTTCACAAAATGATTTCTTGTCATTCTCAACTTAGATTGTACCTGTTCTTTATCGCCTGGTAATCTCACCTAGACCAAACAGTCAATTTTCTCTTCAACGTTTAATGCTATTGATAACAATTACAAAATCATTCTGGAGACCAGAAATTTTTATAATCTGTGATAACTTCGGGTCTACAGAAATACCACTCTGCTTGTTTAAGCGAGTTTGCCTGATGAAAGAAACCCTGCAGCTAATGATTCCCTGAGTAACTTTTGTGTTTTCTCCCTCTTTCTACTGTTTTATCTTTCTCTCTTCCTAATCCTTCCACTTTCTTCTCTGGTTAGGACATATCTCAGACACACTTGTTAGTCCTTTCTCCAACATTATCGAGAGAAAAAACCCACTGTAGTTTATCGTTAAATGAACTAATGATAACACTTAGATACTTGATCGTATTTGATGTATAAAAAAACAAACGTTTCTTCAAAGTGTTGTAATGAAGATATTATTGTAAGCCAGATTTTAGCACATTCACTTCATTTTACACCCGACAATGAAGCGAAATTATTTTGAGCAAATAGCTCGTAGCAATGTAAACTCGCAGAATTATGTTTTTTGAGAGTCAAACACCTGCTATCGGAAATTGTCTTTGTTCTCCTTGTTGAGGTGGGCATCTTAGGCAAGACAAGCCGCTTCATGATTCATAACTTTATCTCAGAATTTAAGTTTGATCTTCTTTTATCTGCTTTACATCAAACACTTGCTTAAATCATTGGATAAGGTTTTTTGGATGAATAACATTTCATTTTACAGCTTTTAGGTAACACAAAAATCTGTGGATAGGTGATGATTTTCACTGAATCCGTGTCAGGTCCTGAATTCTGTAAAAAGTGTCATTTTGATGCTTAGGAACCTCTCGTAACAATAGGCAATTCACCCTTGCAAGGAACTTAGCGAGATTTCCACCAAAGCAGGAAGATTTCCAGGGATTTTAAGATAAAACATTCCTTATTTTAAATTCCCACCATAGGTTTTTGATATTTTCATGGAGTGGTTTGCCTCTCGGATTTTCATGCACTGGTGGACTCTTGCTGGTTGAAAAATCAACATCAGCGATATATTTTACAAAGCAAGCATGAATAATCATAATATTTATTTAAGCATAACGTGTTAGGAAACTCTTTAATATATTAGTCTGGTATTGAAGTCATTTAGTCAGGAAAATGATCTTTATTTGAAATATGCACATTCAAAATATGCTACCAAGTGAAAATTTTCTAGTGTTTTTGTTCATGGGTTATTTCGTCCCGAGCGAAGCTATTTTACACTTACTTTCAGTGGCGTAGCCAGAGAGGGGATGTAAAGGGGGTGTGACACCCCCGATTTTTCAAGAGTTTTTCGGTAAATGTATTGTATTAGTGCAAAAATCCCTGGTTTGTTGGTAGAAACGTCTATCGGTAGGTGAAATAGCACCTAAATTTCTCTCCATCTATGTCTTCTTCGGTAAATTTTACTACTTATGACCCTCCACCCTCCTAGTCTGGAAGGTCGTGCTACCCCACTGCTTACTCTAAAACCTAGTTGGTGCTTAACATTTTGCTGGGCATGGGAAAGCTATTGTCGTGTGCAACATGACGTGCTGTAAAGACACGGTTATAACTTGAGCTTGAAAAAAACAAAAAATAAATAACAGATAATAAGAATAAAAAGATAAATAGGTCCTGACTATAATTCGGTCACAGCTATATAAGTTTGTGTTTGAAAAGTTGTGACTGAAAGAGAGACTCGCTGTAAGCGAGGTTTTATTAGATTAGCATGTTTGGGTTTCATATTCTCACAGACAGTCTGGCTTTTATTTGAGTTGGCTTAATGCATAAAGATAAAGTTTTTCGCTCCAGTATGGAGAACAACAAATCTCCGTTGAAGCACTCGCGAGGACCTAATGAGTTTGATGATTTCCGAGTTTCTTCCCATTTTCATCAAAATTTCGCGAATTTGAATGATATATTAGATCTGGCCTTTTGTGATCGCTGAATCACAGTATTTTGAAAATTTTTCATTTAAGTCATGAATTATGCATCGTTTTGGAAATTACAGAGGATCAAGAACGCCACAATTCCTTGCGAAAGAGTCAATAAAGTTTCAGAAACATATGTCTACAGCGCCTCCATAGGAGTCGCCCTATGCTAGTGGATTTTGCAGACCAGCTAAAAACGTTGAATCATTAAGTGCTGCACAATAATTTTGCTCTTGTCATCCTCTCAAATGTGGGTTGAGAAATCAATAGGGCATTGATTTAATGCACTGAATGATGGAACATAAAAACAAAACGTCCATACACAGAGTTCCTGCTCAATTTTTTATCGTTTGCTACTAAAATGAAAAGTAAGCAGATTTATGATAATCGTGCTGTGTTTTGTACTCAATTATAAAAAAAAATTAATTTCTTCATTTGATATTCATTTGTTTTTTCGAGAGATTATTTCATCGTACATTAAAGTGGTGACTTGGAAAACTGCTTTATATTCTCTAGGAGTCAAAGGGGAATACGCTTTTAAGGTTAGCAATTGTAGCAAAATCTTTAATTATTAAAGGGAAAGTATTCGAGCGAATGAAAGGAACACATAAACATTATTAAAAAAAATGAAAATTACTATTCACCAGTCAGTTATAAAGTGCTTCATACCGTATTAGTAGACCTCTACACACTAAGCGTGAAACTCGGAGTAGCGACTTAGAACCATCCTGTTCTATGCACCAAAAGCGACTAATAAAAACGAGATAAGTACATACAATTTAAATCAACCAAAATATCTTGGCACGCAGAGTGGCCTAATCATCATCGTTTTGTGAATGCAGAAATACTTCAACAAAGCTATTTTGTCTTTTGGTGAAACTGAAGGAAATATTATAAATATCAAATGCTACATAAATCCTTGAGAAAGGTATTTTGAGATTGCTTTAATATGATGCAGCGAAACACAATAGAATGAATTTGGTTATTCTAGTAGAAATAAGCTTTTACAAAAAATGCGAAATTATTGTTGTCTGAGGTTCGTTGGTCCGCGGATTATACCTTGCACTCCTGCACAGCATTTACACAGATGTTGGTGATGAAGAAGGTCGGGATGAGCAGATATTTGAACTGTATGAAATTTCCTCGAGACACTTTGAAGCAGGCGAGTTTTGCGCGGAGGAAGATCTGATTTGAAAACTCTGGGGAAGCTTCTGCAATATCAGGTAAGCCTAGTAAGAAGTTGATTTGTTTGATTGTTTATTCTAAACAAGTGTTATAACATGACAAGATTTATGGCTAATTTAGGTGCTAACAGAGTGTAATTGTGCTAAGGAAATTATGTGTTAAAAGTATTGAATTCGGTGTAAAGATTCGTTTTTAAATCGTATGATATCATCAACATACAACACGATGGTCGTGCAGTAATGACAAAAAGAGTTGGCCTTGTTGAAACAGGTAAGTTTTGTTAAGAACCTTCTGGTAGTGTGCTCTTCAACAACGAGTGTTTATCTATGAATCAGGAATTTATTACTGAGATATGTCTGAAAAGAGTTATCGATGATTTGCTCTTGACCTGAATTGCTTTTACAACCTGTAAAGGTGCCTGTTGATGATCTATTGAAACTGATTTATAAACACACCAATGTTAGAATTTATATTTTCTTCTCTATCATCCACTATGTAAAGCAACGAGCTTCAAACTCTCAGTACGAACAGAGAAGAGCAAGGGTTAGCATCTTCACTCTAGTTTTGTTATTACTCAATCAAGCTGACGCGAGAAACCGCTCGCGTTACTAATTCATAAACTTCTTTATCTTGCAATTCAAAACTTTCCAATGGATAATTCAAAACATTTCTGATGATTTGAGATTGTAATTTTATTTTCTTCTTCAAGTGGTTCATTTAAAGCAGAACTTTTTACAGCTTGTCGGAGAATGCTAGTTACGACAGTTGTCTCGTAAACTTCTTCGTAACGAACGCCAGCGATATATTGACGCACAATACGACAATAACCTAGTGCCGTTTTTGAAATCAACTTACCTCCTTCTGTTATAATTCTTATTCTTTGTTTTGTGTAGAACTTATAGTGAATTCATCTTCCAATTATTTCCTTTGCTGACCGAGATCTTTTGAAATTTTTGAGAGTTCTTTGTTTTCAAAGCAATATGCCACTGCAACCTGCTGCCTTAAGAAAATTTTTGTGGATCGTTATAATGGATATGTAAACAATGGTGTGATAAATACGCCGGCTTTGCTCTTAAAGATTTGTCATAAATTCGGCTGGCGGGCTAGTTTCTGCATCTTTTTCGGAACAATATTTACTTGATCAAGGATAACACACAATTATGTGATTCATAGATATGAAAATTCGGAAGGTTAACATTGCCAGCCGTTGATTTTTCATTCATTCCAGAGATTCTCTTGATGGAGTAGAAAGAGAAACGTTCTATTTTTCTTAGAGTTTAGTGGACATTCATTTTATCGGCTTTCTAGAAGCGCAAAGCTAGAGCTGGTACCCCAGACAGATCTGTAGGCCTTGAGGGTTTTATTCTAAACTTTTTAGAGATTTGATACATCAACCCTTTTCAAGTTAAAAAAATGATTTTGCACAGTGGCGGAAATCATGGGGGTTTGGGGGGGCTCGGGCGTGTCGGATAATTGACAACTGTTTAATGTAGTCGGAAAATTCGGGCTTTCGTCGGATAAATGAAAACCGTTTAACGTGTCGAAATTACTCCAAGAAATCGTTCTGAAAAGGAATTTTAAGGTAATCTAAGGGGCGTAATTGCCAAATTTTATCCTCGCTTCGCTCGCAGATGATCTGCATTTTCCCATTATACCCCAGGGGCCTCTATAACCTCTTTGTGTCCTTTTTGCAAAATTTGAACATTGCAAAGCTGATGTTAGCCAGTACTAAATAATCAATCAAACAATATATTACCAAAATCAAAACTGCTTGTGAATTGCATATTTAATTTCAATTCCGTAAAGATTAGCCAAAATTTCAATTGGATTCTTCCGAGCAAAAGTTATTTTCAAGCGTATTTCCCACTGACGAAAACAATATAATATGCATAAAATGAACGTACAATTTGTCAAAAGTGTAATCGGTCGCCCTCTTGTATCATCGATTGTCTTAGATGAGATATCGATCTTGATATCAAAAATCATAAATGAACTGCTCTCCTTGCTACTTAATTATGGCATGGTCAGCAAACATTTTTAAAGAGTCCCGTCAAAAAATATTCTAATTTTTTAAAATGTGCAGTTTCATTAAAAATAGAACATTATCCAAGATGTTATCTTGTCGGAAAATCGTAGGCCTGAGCCCCCCTCCCCAAATGAAAGCCTGAATTTCCACCACTGATTTTGCTAACCCACCCCCATTTTATCTCAACTAAATAAAGTATGTCCTAGTTCGAGGACAACTCTTGCATTCTAGGGCATATAGATTTAGAGTTTGATTGCCATTTTTGGCCCCTATAGAGTGAATGAATGGGAACACACCAAACTTACTTGAAAATGAATGGAACTTGTGATGGTAGCTTTTGGTTTTAAAAATCTACAACACCCCCTGGAGTTTCATGTCAATCTCTTTCCTGAAAAGTTTGATTTTTTATGTTTTTGGTTCATTGATTTTCCAACCTAAGAGAAAACATCCCACGCTTCATGCAAAATTTAAGGGAATATTTTTGGTTTTTGACCAAGTTGACCGTATTTGATTCTACTCTAAATCCAGAATCAGTCGTTGACTGATAAAAATCGAGCAATTTCCTCATCTTTAAAACAAATATAGCATTTCTGCTATACATAATTGATGATATTTCTTTATCTGGTGAACTTTTGTCATTCAGAGGTCTCTCTATCTGAACTTCAAAGCCGAGCGTTTTTAATCACGTTAAGTCGTAGGCTTTATCTAGATCTTGTGTTAAAACGCATTAACCGATTTTAAAACTGTTGTCTTTTTCTGTACTAATCTGTAAAAATCTTGCTTTCTGAGATAAGATTACTGTTTTAAAAGGCGCATGTAGAAACAGGCCAGACATGGCCCAGTTGATGAAAGAGCTCTTTTTGCTCTGATCATAAGTGAATTGTGATCGATTTGCATCAGCTGCACAATTTGATCAAAAGAAAAGATTTAGTAGGTTCTTCTGAATAGCATACAAAATTTTAAAAATTTAGACCAAACCTCTTTGAAACCCGTCCTTCAATTTGATTTATCTATCCTTGATGTCACTTGAATTGGCGAACAACAAAGGTCATTGCAATGTAGCTGGCATTTTGAAGAAAATAGTTAAAACGTGTATTCATCTTACAGAGCAACAAACGAATTCTTCCCATTTTTTTTCACTTTTCTTTTCTTGTCTATGCAAGCTAAATAAAAAACTTCTGGGAAATGCGGAGCAGCATGAGCAGACTCTTTGCACAAAGCCATTTCTCTCAATGTTACCATGGGTGTTCCAGGGACGTATTTGGCAGATGTTGTAGGGGTGCGACAACCCCCCCCCCAATATTTCTGTGTCCTTCGGTAAATATTGTTTCCATTCTGTGAAAATCATTTTTAAGCCCTCTCATCACCCTTTTATCTTCTTTAATGATATTCCAGTAATGAAGGTCCACGAGCCCAAATACCTTGGTATCATACTTTTTTCTAAACTATCATTCGCTAGTCACTTTCAATTAATTATTTCTAAATTTAAACAAGGCCTAGGGATGTTGAGGTTCCTTTCAAAGTACATGCCGCGATATACGCTCAACTCTATGTCCGTCCCCATCTGGATTATTATGACGTCATATATCACATTCCACAAAATACTCTTGATTGTAGGCAAACTGTTGCATTGACAAATTCGATGGAAAAACTCGAGTCCATTCAATATTCTGCCCCTTACAATCTAACTCAAGGGTCTGGGGCTCAATTTCCAGACATGACCAAACTTTCTCCCAGAGTAAGGACGTCGAATGCTCTCTGCATTTCTAAGTGTGGGAATCACGAGATACAGACACGTTGAGAGGAAGGACAACCTCAGTGTCCTAAAAAAGTACCTTCGAATGATAAGTAAAAACAGGTATAACTACAATTCTTGATGGCTCTCAAGTTTGTCCAGTTGTGTTTCCAAAGTTGCAGTAATAAGAAAACTTTCAAAGCAAGCTTTTCTGGCCTTACTTCTACACAAAATATTTACAAAAGAGTATATATTTTAACATCTTCCTAATTGTGTTTCACGTGAATGTTGAAAAGGACTTTCTTGCATTCCATCATTTCTAGCAGAGGCGCATTCCGTCATTTTGGACACAGAATATTGACTATGTCATTTGCTCGTGCTACTTTCTTTTGTTTTGCATGAGAATTATCACCAAATCAATAACTGCAGCATTATTGGTACCGTAACTCAACCTGTGAGGCCCCTCTTGTCTTTTTCTTTCCTCAGTGAAAACTGCAATGACTAAGTTTCCATGAACAGTTGAAAAAGTCAACCAGGACAAACTTCCTCTCTTGCTTCATCTTCCCGAAGTGCACGCACATGTTGAAAATCTTGTTACTTGACATTATGTCCCTGTTTAATTTGAAACTTTCTCGTAGGCCAATAGTTATGCCTGTCATTAGTTCTACAGAACTTTCAGATATGACCCTTGCATCGAACAATCATTGACGAAATCTCAAACAGGCGTTCCTCTTTTGTAGAATCTTCTGCATAATTCTCATTTTGTGGAAACTACCCACCAGAACTAAGACACCTTTATACATTAGCAAGACTTTTCCAAATAATATGAAATATTTTGGCGTAGCTCATCTACACCTGCAAATGATGGAGATTTCAATCTTGAAAACTTTGGAAAATATAAATGTGCAAAACTAGACGAAAGTCAAGTAAATGATTAACTTAACCATTAGGGGCTACTCTATGCCTTAACCCTTTATATATCCACTGTAACATCATAACCACTTACCCCTCATATCTTGTCAACATGGATATTACACAATAGTATCAATAAAAGAGGGCCAAAATGGCGGATATTACCAATTTCCCGTACTTGTGACTTGCGCAGATAGTGACGTCATCAATACTTTGACACGTGATAGTTTTTAACTGGTTTATTTTAGGATATATGTTTCTGAGCTTTTGTTGTTCGGTTTTTTATACTCTTTCGATTCATGCTGTTTGTTTTCAAATTTGACGATTTTCATTTTTTTCTGACAGTTAAAATTTACGTCATCGATCACGTGACATCTAGGGCGAAATTTTTTTGGACACCCTTCAAAATTTCAAGGTATTAGTCCAAGGAAGTGGAAACAAGTGAAAAACCTCCGGTTACCCTCTCTGCCAGTTTGTTAGGAAAAATTCCCTGTCTAATTTTTACGCTCCGTCAGTGGCGATTTTAAGGGGGATCCAGGGGGCCATGGCCCCAGGCCTCGTGCTTATGGTAGCCAAAAGGGGCCCCACACCTAAGAAAAAAGATGGAAATTGTAAAGAACAAGGGCGCCGCAGTTGTTTTTTGCCCCGGAGTCACTTTCGACCCTGATTGCACCCCCTGCGAGGACTCTCGACCCTGATTATTCTTGTTAATGTAAACATTGAACGTGTGGTGTAGTATCCTGTCGTAGTATGCTCGAGACGATCAATTTACGTGTGGAGAATATCAGGCTTCTTCAACAATATTCAGAATGTCAAGTTTGTGGAAACAGGATGGCCTTTGAACTTTCGGTAATTTACAATACTCTGATGATTTAAAGAACAAAATCTTTTCACTGTCGTGGACCAACCCATTGGAAGTTGTTTTGTTTGATAATACCGCAGAAAGGTCAACTCATTTCTTCCTGTTCAAGATAGTTGCGTATAATTTCTGAACTTTCGAGTTTGTCAAAGAGAGGGATTATTTTGCATACCAAACTGTTTTATTGATTATTTTGGGCTTCTTATAGGGTTCCCTCTAGCAGGAGGATCGATTGTAGTTCCCTCTATAAATCGATTTGTTATTGATATGAGCAAGGGGTGTGTTGCTATGAAAAGAACTGGTGGCGATAATTTCCTCGCGATAATTTCGGTGGAAAAAGTAGAAAAGGCTTTTAGTATTTGAAAAGAGGGCACATTCCCCTTGACCCCCAGCCCTACAACCCTGATTTAAGCCTTGATATCAAGTCTTTTGCAGATTTTAACAAACAATTTAATTGAAAGACTGACTCTTGGATTTTCATTTTTAGGGTCGTGTGTTTGATGCTGATTAGAAATTGCCAAGATGTGTCTCTCCTGTGAAATGGAAGACAAGTGGACAGTGTTCATTGAGTTTATGATATTTCTCGTCTTTCAAGGCCTCGATGTTGGGGCACATTCAGGTGTTTTTGTTATGATCCATGAGAAAGTAACCAGCTGTGCCAATCTTGTGTCCCATGTCACAAAAATTCCTTGTTTCAAAGATGCAAATGGCACCATATATGAATTCAATAACACAATGGCAAATCTTTCAAGGGCATTTTGCCCCAGCAATACCCTGTATTGCTCTGGTGGGATCAATGGAACAGCAACATCTCTTGACTCCAGTCAAAAACACCTTGACATTGTGCATATGGTTTTTTTGGCATTTCTCAGTCTTGGGGCACTTCTCTATGTTGCTCACTTAGGTCTGCTGTTGCCAAATTTAATAAAAGCATTTATGGTCAAAGATATGGAGGTTTATCGTGAAAATGGGCCATCATACTATAGAAATGTTTTGAAAATCCATGTTGTTTTTCTGGTATTGGAAACAATTTTCTTTGACATTCCCTGTGGTGGAATAGTTATGGAGTTCATTGCCCAGCTGTGGAAGTATGGGAACTTTAATTGTTGGGAATGTGCAACCTCTTTGGCTGCAGTCCCTTCGGATATGTCACTGGATGAAAGTAAAAAATTGCTTGTCCTCACCTGTGTTGGAATGGCATTTATTGCTTTATACAAAGGTCTGTATACTCTCGTTTTCTAATCATTGATAGAAATAAAATATTTAGAGTGGAAAGGAAATGCATTTAATCAATTTTAACAGAGTTGAGCTATTATTTTTTTTAGGGAAGGAGGCTCTTCCCCCCCCCACCCCCCCCCCTCCAAAAAAATATTACAAACATGCCTCTGTATCTAAGTACAATATGATTTCCTGATAAAAAGATAGGTAGGCAAATGTTTCATTGGCTGCAGGTTACTTCTTCAAGACCTAGAAAATAAAAAAAAAAAGTTTTAGGCAAATTAATTTACGCATTGGTCCAAGGCACATTTCATGCAAAAGCATCTGTAAATAGAGGCTTTACAATAGGAAGCTAACAACAAAGCTTGTTGGTTATGGTGCATTTTGATTTAACATTCCCAAATTTTCTGTGATATCTAATGAAAAACAACAAATGGAATTGTTAATTTATTGTTCTTATTATTGATTTGATTACTGGAAGTTGACATATCCTTCAGAATAAATACAAAGCAATTTGAATATTCAATATGAATTCATTCTGTTTTTGTTTCCTAGGTATGATGCCTTTGTTTTTATGGATTGGAAACCCATTCTGTTTTCCATGTATTCCTCTGCGCCTTGTCATTGTCCTTCCTGCCGGCCTTATTGCACTTGTAATGACTCTTGGACCAGTTTTTGGTATAGCAGAGCGGCGTCTTATACCTTTTGCCCCACCTGTGATGCTTGCACAAATCAAGAATGTGGGGAACACCTTTTTCTCGATTGGCATGATATTCTGGGGGATATTTGGAATCATTGGCCTTATGAGCTTTCTTTGCTGGTACAGGTATTGCCGTGAAGGAGCTGAGAAAACAGCAGATTGTGGATGTTGTTAATAGACTCTTTCCATTGCTGTGAGTTATTTATAGAATTTGTTCTAAAAATGCTCACAAGGTGTAACTTTATTGTCATATTGTTTTGATGCAAAGCATTCTGGTAAAACTTTCCTCATTGCAAAAAGCTTCTCCATCTCTAAATGACATCAATTACAGAGCACTCCATTTGTTGCATTCTGTTTGTCATCGTGGTTTGAAGATTTTTAAATCTTCTTCACATATTCCTTGCCAAAAGCAGTGGGCCCTAAAATAATCCTCATCCAAAAATGTGTGTGATTTCAAGGTCTGAAACGAAAATGAGCTTAGTTTCCTTGTAGCGGATATGAAAGTATTTATTGTTTTAGGTAGATAGTTGGTTATTTTTGTGTGTAACAAGTGTTAATATATATTAACCCTTTATAATTACTAACCCTTAGGCTGTCATCAGTAATTGATTTTTACTATTGTGCTTTTTTATCTTGTGTGCATTTTAACCCTGTGTGCTGTACACATTAAGCAATGTGTAGATAAACTGTGTACATAAAATGCTGTTTAACAATATTGTTATTTTAACCTTTTATTTTGTTGGATTCAGTAGTTAAGGTAATTTTTGCTATTACATGCAGGGATTGCTTGCTTGCTGCTTGCTTACTTACAGTTACCGGTCCAGTCCTTAGGGTCCAGTTACTGGTCAAGCCAATTTGTAAATGTTGAACATATTTTAAATTTAATATAATTTTGAAACATTTGTTGGTAGTTGGCTCTTTGACATATCTTGTAACATCAATTTAAATTTAAGGGTTAAGTGAGTCTGGTGACAGTATTGTCATAGGCAGTGTTTTAATCTATAATTCAATAGCACATTTTCATTCTTACATGTTTTAAGACTCAAAAAGGCTTATAAATTTTTCATACAACTAACAAATTTCTTATGCATGCTCCTCAAAAGAATCAAGAGGTATATTTTTTCTGTTAAGGCTATGGATGATTTTTATGATGGTTGACAAATTTTTGGCAAAGTTTCAATGACTGTTTTAACCTTGACTGTTTTAATTTATTTAATAACTTCCTATGAATTTGGTCAATATTTTGTGTTTCAAATGTTCTCCTTGTAACAGTAGGACTTTAAATACGTTTCGCCTACTACATGGCCTAGGGAATTCAGGATTGTTCCTTAACACCTCAAAATTTCAATGTGTTATGTTAAAGAAACAGAATAATTGTCCAATGAAATCTGTATTAACTTTTAGGTGTTATTTATTGTATATAAATTATCATTTTTAAAACCTTAAGGATCCAACTGTATATTTTAGAATTTAATTAAATGTTATAAAATCAAGTTTGTCAAGAAGAGGATACTTCCATGATTGTCAAATGTTGTTTTTCTATAATTTTTCTTACTGTGACATCCAGTACCAGCTTCAAATACCAAGAAGGGGTATGGGTTTTGTGGGGTTTCTGTAGGGGTTTTTATCCCTCTTATACAGCATATTTTTCTTAAGGAAAACATGCTGTATAAGAGGGATAGGACAGAGTTTTAGGAAAATAATATTCTAACCCTCTCAAATGTAAACCCCTACTGTGCCCTCAATCAGATTTCCACCTCCTTCATCCCATTTTTCTCTGTTATGCTGCATTCATGTCATTCTAACATCAACCAATGGGGCATCATTATTGCAAATTTCAAATTCATCTACCTTTTTGTTTCATTCACACAGATGAATTTATGTATGCTGGAGCATTAGTCTATACTAAATTTATCTTAAAATTCTATTATACAACATCAGATTCTTGTCGTCATATTGCATTGTTACTGACTTTTATCTTCAACAGATTTATTTTGCCTCATTATGTCTTATTCCAGTTCCTAGACACAAGGTTATTTAATAGCTCAAAGATGAATAATATTCAAAAACACAAATTTCCTTCATTTAATAAGAAAACTTGTGTTGTACAACAAAAAACTTTGCTAAATCCAGCAATTCTTAGAAAAATGAACAGACAATTGAATTCACGATTTACAAAGTCCTAATGATATAAAGAAAGAAGAATAAAAAATAATATTTACAGTGACAAAGCTGGTGTATATTTTAATGGAATATATTGGTAGTGATTATAAAATTGCTTACTTGAAATGCATTTAAACTATTATGCAATAATTTATAGATTCAATTTGAACTAAAATTGAGTGAAGTTAGAATTGACTCACAGCCAATCAAGTTACTTGCAAGAATCACCACTGTCATATAGGAAATTATTGATTTTTTATTGCAATTTGCATAGCTGTCAAGTTTGTGTTCCCAAAAGCAAGATATCTATTGTTTTACCTAATTAGTCATACTTTCTATTGTTACCTGCCTTTAAAATGTTTGAAACTCATGAAATGCTTTGTAGCTCTTAATTTGCTACATATTTTATCAAGTATTGGTACTATTTCTTTGAGTATATATCAATTGTTGTCTTCAGGCACTCTCTCAAATCAAAATCCCAAGATCCAATTGCAAATTTTGACAAAGGTGCTCTAAAATAGTCAAGTCCTCTGCCTATTTTTATGACCCATCCATTATCAAGTTCTATTTCTCTGTCATGTAGAGTTTCTAACATTTCAAAATCAAAGTTTACTTTCAGGTCTTTCAAGCTTTTCTGAAGTTGCTCCAGTTTTTCAAACTGTTGTGCAGCATGATCAAAGTCAGCAGCTAGAAGGAAAACTTGTATTTCATTGTCAATTTCCTGGGATATGTGCTGAAAGATACTAATGTATCTACATATTCTGAAGAAAGTTTATCTTAACAGTGTCACAGAGCATACTCAAACTTAACTACCTCCACTTAAATAGTTTACAGGCCAAGAACATAATCTATAAAAAGATTTGAATATAAGCTTTCCCCAAAAAACAAAGCATGGAATTATATCTAATATGTATGTTACAATGCGGATTTAAAGTCCTAAAAGCCATCCTTGAGTTTAAGTTAAAGCCTCTTGCCATTTGTTATTCAAAATTCTTCAACGTAATTACCCGTCGTTATCAGCTTTATGCAGTTTAGGTTCTTCGCCTTTTTAATGAGAAGTTCACAGAATCTTAAAAGGTTCATAATTTGATGGTGAGTTCTTATGTAGGGATCTTGAATTCTGACTGTCGTAAGTTTCTCATCAATATATTTTGAAAATAATCTTGAATAGCTGCATCCTCTTTGTCCAGCCTCAAGCTCGATTTTTTCGTGGTATTTACCAACTTCCTTTTGGTTACTGACGAATTCCTTCAGTTGCTCCGCTCGATTCATGTATTCGTTTAGTCTGAGGCGGGCGTTTGCCTTGAATTTATCATCTGCTGATTGCTTAACAGAGGTAAATAGAATGTCGATCCCTTCTTGATAACAAACAAGTGCCTCTGAATACTTTTCCTCGTTATCAAGCTCTACGGCGCGCTTTAGAACCTGTCCTGCGGCGTCCATGATTGTTTTTAAAACTGAAGTTTCATTAAATGATATTCCTTTGGCTGTATAACCACCTTAACAGGTTCTGTCGCCTTTTGGGCTATGTCGCTGTTTTGGTAAATATTTGAATAATTTGTTACTAATAAAGAAAAAGCAATAATATTTTTTGGTGAAAAGATAATTCTTATAAAACAAATGAATATCTGGTTTAAACTGAAAGTACATCAAGCAACGACGACAACATTTTGTTTTCATGGCAATGTTCCCGCCAAATAAACGTATGTTGTTGAAGTTGCACTTGCATGTTGTCTGAGAGAAGGCAAATGGCGTCCTCGAAGTCTTCCAAGATCGTTGCGATGATCGATCGATCACGCAACCCTTCGTCGTCGTTATTCAAAGATGTCTCTTTCTATCTGGTTGACGAAACAAATGATGAGGTAATGCCGATCTTTGTTATCAAGAACATCTGTTTTTTATTTTTCTCCAGGGTGTAGTATTTACCTTGCTCTCCTATTTCCACACTGCATACTCCGCGCAATCTAAGGTGGTTCTAAAATGATCCGCAAATTCACTTTTAAAATTGGAATCTGCGCAATATTACAGAAGCGAAGTAATCTTATATGCGCAGATGTTTTGATATTAGGAATAAATGATTTTTAAAATAGCTTCTTACGTTTTACGTAGTTTCGCGTGACTAATCTTAGTCTCATAGTACTTATTCTTGTTTACGTTATGTTCCCTTAAGTGTTAATTCAGGATTCTAACCTAATAGAAGTTTTAAAAAGTTATTGTCTTCTGCTGCAAAATGTCATATAGAAGTATGCAAAATGTATACCAGAATTCATGTTCTCTTTGCAAAACACAGAGATTGTTGTCTGGCCTTACTCAACACAGCCACGATAGCAATTAGAGGCCTAGACTGAAAAGTGGTTTTTATTTACCTATATTACGCCGCAAACAGTTAATTGTAAACCCTTCATGTTTATTGAGATTCTCAAAATCAGATAAAGTTGATTAAGGAAAGCTCTGCTGACTACTTTCGGTGCAACAGATGATCTGTTTCTGTTTCTCTTTTCTTTCTTTAGTAAATTTATCAGAAGAGACCATAATAAGCATGAAAATGAAAAAATATAACAGGAACTGTTTTTTCAAAACTTAGACATTTATTTGTTCTTTGTGAGCAAACATTTTAGGCAAAGAATATTGAATGTCATTGAAGAATGATTCAAGAATTGATCACAGCCTTTTTCAGAAACTGAACCAAATATCTCCTATATATTTTTAACAGATGTTTTTCAATTTGAGGCCTCTCTTGGAAGAAAGTGAAAGTAGATTGAAACTCAAAATATTCTTTATAAAGCCAACTGCAGTTAAAAAGCCACCATGGAAACTATATTTCTTGTAATTCAAAATAAGCTTGTCCATATCAAATGGGAATCAACAATGATAAAAAAATCTAAAAACTTGGAAAAGTGATGCTTGATAATCAAGGTACATATAATGCAAGGAAGTTATTGAATACATTATGCATGATGGAGGCAACATTTTCCTTCAAAATACAGCAGTCCTTGGAAAAATCTTATCACTGGTCCAAGGCAATTTTTGACACAAGGCAATTTAATGCCTGCCCTTGCAAAAGTGTATCATAAAAAGGAAAAATTTTCACAGAAAATCAAATGCTTGTGAGGCAAACAAACTTGCAACTACCAGCCATTCAAATGAAGTAATCATAAACTGCATGGACTGAAAAAACCCTTAGGGTAGCAATCACCCTCCTAAGCCCATCCACGAAGGCAGTTTCTTGTCCATATGAAAATTTCTAAAAGAGAAGGTTTCCACTTTAAAAGTTATTTTGTTAGGAATGGATTTTTCTCTGGTCACATGTTTTCTAGACGTTGATTTATTTCCTCTGAGTTTGTGGCTAGTTTACAATTGTAGTAAATTCAGTTTGTTTTAATTTAATTGACTTTATCTAACTGCATTCAAAAATTTTACTCATCAAGGTGAAGAACCTTCTCAAGCAGTGTGGTGCAAAAAGAGAATTCTACATAAGTGAGTTGGTTACCCATGTGATCACTGATACCATCAGCTTTCCTGAATACGAGCAAGCCAAGGATGCCAAACTTGATATTGTTAAGGTACAATATATCTAAGTTATTTTTAGATTTCTCTTGTTTTTAGATTATTTTTAGGCTCGCTGCACTGATTGGTCAACTATACCGGTCTTGTGCTTGCGTTTTTCTGATTGGCCTATTTTGATCCACAACTGGGTATATATTTTCCATCTTGGTCTTTCAGAACCTTATTCTGACGTTTTATGCTCTGAGGAGTGTCAGACGAAAAAGCTTTTAGTATGTTGTAAAATGTTTGCTTTTTTCAAAGCCATTTTCTCTTGTTTCCTTTGCTTTTATTTTATGTTGGCAATATTTTCTCATAACATTAAAATTTTGTTTTGCCTTCAAGTATAAAACAATCAAAGATACATAGAGCTTTAACACCAAGCAAAGGGTGGATAAATCTTAGCATTCTGTCAGCCTGATACTTTTGAATGTAGAGGCTAAATTAGTTTTTAGTGACATGGCAAGTTAACAATGGATTATATAAACAAAAGACGAAGAATTGAAGAATCAGATAAAGTGTTAGAAATAGAACTAAAGCTGAAGCATGTCTAGAGGAAGAACTGTTTCATTACCTATGTTAGGAGTTGTCTTTAAAGAAAGATAGCTTTTCATGTTAGTTATGCATCTTGTTTTTATTTTAGGATACATGGGTACATGCATGCATCAAGTGTGATACATTGCTACCGTATCTTTCTCAACTGCCTTAAGCATATTACCCTTTTTCCAATCTTGTTTATTTATACTAGATATGAAAATTGCATCAGCTAATGCATAAGTTATGTTATTTTGAGTTGTCTAAGTACAAAGGCTTATTTATTATGTGTGAGAAGAAAACCACAGGATAAGCTCGAAGCAATACAATGACGAGAATTCAATTTAATCAGATAAATTTTCAAAATAAGTTGAATAAAATGAATACTAATATTATGCCTGGCCATACAGGGCTTCATTAGAGTAAATGGAACAAATTGCATGCAAAATGATTGAAGATGTGGTGGAGGGGGGGGGGGGGGGGGGGGGGGGGGGGGGGGGGCTGACTGAATGGTCAGTTTCGTTGAGACCCCCTAACTTGTGCAATTTTATTTGCCTTGATAGTTATGCAACAGGCTCCTCCACCTTAGCAATGTTTGATAAAATACTCAAACAAATAATTAAATCCTGTGCTGAGGATGTTTTTAATCTTTTATCTTTTCACATGTTTTTCATTTGTTCTTCCTTCTTTATAAAATGTTATTTGATTGAAACATAACGATTAGCAAAAAATCTAAGAAATATGTTAATGTTTGCTTTTTTTGTGCAATTTTTCTTAACCTATGTAAGATCAAAACCATTTTCCCCTGAAACTGATTTGCTGTTTTCTGGTTTGACAATCTGCCTATCACAGGTATGTTATTGTCATTTATTAAGTTACAAGGAATATATAATAACCTGACAGCATTAATGTTTACTTTGGTGTGTATGTACCACAAGTTTCTGTTTTGTTTACCGTTTTCTATTCAGTTTTGTTTATGACAACAAGCTGGATTTGTCCAAATTTCACAAACTTAAACTTAAAATTTTTGAAAACGAAGTTATAGCTGAATATTGAAGAAACACTGTATTCTAATATTTTTGTTATTGTTGTTCAGTGTCCTGTGATACTTTGTAGCAATTCCATTTACATCATGCAGGTCTTTTCGTAAGAAAAAGTCCACACGAGGGGCCCATTGCTCGCGTTAATTCTTTTTGTTAAGAGATCGCTCTGACAGTGAAAAAATTGTTCCTGTTATAAGGTACCCTTTTGTTTGAGGTAACATCAAATGAAAAAGAACTGTTACGGTGATCTGTAATGAACTCCAAGAAAGACTAAATTCCCTTTATAAGTGTTCTTCGTTTATAAACTTTATGTACATCACGAGTGTCATAAAGACGTTATTGCCAGATGACCGCAAAACCTTTTTAAAAACGCTTTTACTGCCCAGAAAATGTCCTAAGTGCTATTGTCGTTCAAATACTAAGTACCTAAAGTGCTCCTAAACATTCGCTGTGGAATTGATTTTTAAATGCATTTTTTCGTTGGGATGTTGTAAGTCAGCTTAGTTATATTATGAATATATGTAAGTCAGCTTACTTATATTTCCTGTGTTTTGATATACCAGCTTTGTTTCGTCTATGTCACTTGCTTGGGTTGCAAAAGATGACTGGAAATGTGTTAATTGATGAAACGTTTACTTCTCACGATTTACTGTTTTGCGCTAGCGAACAAACGCTCGTGGGTTGGGTTTGCGCGAGTTCTGACACGATCGCGAGTGATCGCTCGCGTCAAACGAAAAGGCCTGTTCATGACAGATCTTTACCTTGTTATCATTTGATTTGTTTTGTTTTTAGGTTTGATATGCTTTTGTTGCTTATTGTTTCAATGCTACTTTCAGATACCAAAGAATGACAGAGATGCATTGTGGGCTATGATCACCTATAATGGCGGGGTTTGTCAGCCCAATCTGAATGGCAAGTGTACTCATCTGGCAACAGGCAAAGCTTCGGGTGTAGGTCTATGAAAGCAACTTTTTCGAAAGAGATATCGCTGACTGTTATATTTATAAACGTGAAGTGCCACGTGTTGTGCATCTAGAAAACATATGGGATGCAAAGATGCTTCTTTAAGATGCAAAAGAAAACACAACTAAACCACGTGATTTAAACATCAGCAGCAAGTTTTATTTTCCTTTATTTACCAATAGTTTTCTTGCATTGTTCTCAAACGCTAATACATTCCATTTAAGTCTTGTAAAGTAAAATGTAAAGGAAATGCGATGTAAAGGAAAAAATTAATTTTCCTCTTTTGAAAAGCAAAAGTCACTGTTACAGTATTACAGTACTTGTTGAAGATACCTCAAAATTTCAGAAGTTGCCCCTACCTCCCCCCCCGCTCCTGGCAACAAGTAATATGATGTAAGCATAGTCAAGACTGCATATTTAACCATTTGCTAAATAGCTTCAAATTAAGGACTGTTTTCTCAGGTTTTGTACAGTGAGTGCAGTTTTATCTTAGGAACGTAGGATGACGTTGTGAAATCTAATTTTTCATAGAGGAAATTTGAATTCGCTTCACAAAAGCCAGAACAACTCAAGGTCGTAACACCCGACTGGATATTGGGCTGCATAAAGGCGGGAACAACCCTGGATGAGAGCGAATACTTCCCGCTAGAAGAAGCGCCCAAGACGCCTGAATCGACGAAACCAGGAGAAGCCTCCCCTGCCAGGAATATCTCAACCCCTAAAATGAATGACGGGACCCCATCGACTCTTTTAACCCCAGTAACACCAACAGTTACTCAAGGCAGTGCAGTTAAAGTTTTATCGCCAAAGAAACAGCTCCCAAGCTCACCTGCATCTGAAGGCGATGATTTAGAATCGAGGCAAGCCAGTAATGGCGGAATGCAAGCAGAAAGAGCGAATAAAGACAAACCTGACGTTGGAACAAAAACTGCAGCTGATTCGACAACGACGGGTATCGTCGGTAGCTCCGTAACTGCCGCTGTTGCAGAAAGTAAGTTTTTAGTAAACGCATTTGTTGTTGGCAAAAATTTTTTCGATACTCTATATTGAGCAATGTATTCAGAGCTTTACGTTGCTTTAGCAAGAAAACTGTGATCGCTGTTATTTGAATTAGTAAGATTTATGTACTTTATGCCTTATGAACAGGGGCGTACCTTGACGATTTGGAGTAGGGCGGGGGGTGTAAACGGGTGAATTTACCGACCAAAACTCAACTCTTGCTAGTCAATGTATGCACACCAATTTACTATATAAAGTCAAGATACGTATCTACCGACCATCCGTAAAATTTACCGACCAACTTTCTAAAAGTGTAACGCCCCCCCCCCCTCCTCCAGTAGGTACGCCCCTGTTTATGATTGTCATCCTTTATTCTGATGTGCTTTTAGGAAACCCTGACATTTTGAAGGGATGTGTGTTTGTCTTTGGAGACTACATGGAAAGGCTACCAGAAGAGACCTTCAAAATTTGGCTCGATGTACGTATTCATTCACTACTTTTTTACTTCTTTCGTTTAAACAATTAAGATTTATAGAAAAACATTTATTGTTATGAAATTTCAAAATATTTCAGATTTTGCTCCAAAGAATTTAATAACACACTCAGTGTATTTTGAAAATGCTGGAAAATGATTTTTTAGAAATAGAATTCAATGAATTTCAGGGGAAAATGACTTCTAACTTGACGTTAAACAGAAATTTCCCCTCAAAAATATACGAAGAATTGCAGTTATGATACAAAAGATCCGCATCCATTTTGTCAATTCGTGAAATTGCTTATTTCGTTTATTGAGTTAAGATTCATAGGGAATAATTTTAGATTCTGTTTCATGCAATGTCTAGGGTTACAAGTGGACAAAATCTATAAGCTACCAGCTTCTTAGCATAGCAGTTAGAGCAGTTTTGATTACTTTTGTACTAGTGTTCCAAAAGACAACAACAGTGGATTCCCTTGTCTTTATAAAAACTGGGTTCAATTGTTTTTTATCCAATCGGGGAGCTTCATGTATGACACTGGTGGTTTGTCGTCTCGAATTTTTTATACAGAATCTTTTGTTAATATTTTCGATGTATCTGAATGTACTTACTCTCACAGGTGATTACGAAACATGGTGGAGAAGTTGAAGATACGTATTCAAAACGTTCTACTCACGTGTTGTGTCTTCATCAGCAGGGAGAGCTTTGCAAGAAGGTATATTTCTTAACGATTCCTTTTAACATAATAACCGAGTAAGCAAAAGGGTGCAAGGCAAAGTTTAGTCTCTTTAAACTCTAATTTAAGCATGCTTTTCTCAAATTCCTTTATGACATTACAAATTTAGGCATGCTTTCGACGCTTTTTAACTTGTACAAATGTTTTGTGTCTGTTCTATGAAGGTGTTTTTACAATTGCAGCAGTGTTGTACTTGTTGTAAGTGAAAAAGTTTTAGATTCGAAAGTCTGGGACATTGAATAAATTAAAGTAAGGATATCTGAATAAGTGTGAAGAACTGGGGAATGAAACGGAAGATAGTATCCTAGAAATTTTTGGTATCAATTGACATTTTTTAAAGGCGACCAACAGATACTAAAGTGGCTTAAGGCCACTGTGAATCAACAGTTGGCCAAACAGTTGGCGTGATACCACTCACACGGTTTTTGATTGGCTAATATTGATTGATAGATGCCTTAAGCCTATTTAGTATCTCTTGATTGCCATTAAACATGCCTAGTTATATTCGATTTCATTATTTACATTTCATTGTTATTTGCATAAAGAACTCAACTCGAAGTTTGTTGACAACTTTTTTTGTAATGTCTTAAAGGAATTTGATGTTCATTTTTTTACAGGCCCTGGCTGATGGCAAAAAAATCGCTACAGCGCATTGGCTTAACGAGGTTTTAGTCAAAAGTGAATTTTTCACTCCTTGTTACCCACTGCATATTCCTGTCCCCTTCAGCTCTTCTGTATCTGGTTGTAAAGACATGGTAAGCCATTCCATTGTACTTTTTTATTTTGCCTCAATTTTTTGTATATTATTGAGATTTAATTGCGCCATCCAGTCTATTTGCTATTGCTTTTGTAACTAGCTAAAGCAATCTTCAGTGTCAGTTTCTAAAAAAGAAGACCCTGTGTTGTAATGTTTACCAAAACTTGGTAAATTGAGTTTTATTGTTACAAAAAACTTTCTAAAAGGCGTTGAAAGATAGACATGATTATGCTAGAAACCAATGTATTCTATCCTTTGATAATTTTTTGCAGATCGTGACTGTCAGTGGCTATACTGGTGCAGAAAGATTTCTTGTGAAAAATATGATTTCGATTTTGGGCGCCAATTACACTGGATATTTTACGCAAGCACATAGCCATTTAGTTTGCAAAAAGTTAGTATTTTCTTGAATTTTTCGATCGTTTATTTCTTGGTCTTTTGTAAAGGAAAATTTTTTGGTGATGGTATTTTGTATAATTTTCTTGTTTGTTCTAGGCCTGAGGGACGGAAATACGAAAAAGCATTGGAATGGGGTGTCAGTATTGTTAACGCAAAATGGCTTGGCGATATGCTGCAAGGTAATTATAATTTATTTGTAGCAAAACGCTCCATGCTATTTTCAGTTATCGAGTAGCATTGTTTCCTTAAGTAGCTTTGGTCAAGCTGAGAGCGGGCTTGTTTGATAATGGCTTATTCAGAATAACACGTCTAAGGCTACAGCTGGCAGGCCATGAGTAGAAAGTTACAAACGGATACCTTGAAAAACACCAGACATCAACGTAGATGTTGGTTTTGTCAGGGCTTTGAGAGTTAATCATATTGAATTTGTCTAATATTTACGTTTCATGTTTATGCGTGTTTTATGGCCTAGGGCTGAAGTTGTTTCCAACTGGAGATTATTATCAGCAATCATGAAGAGATTTCCATCGAGTTTAGATAACATAGAAATTAGAAGTTTGCGTCGGGTTAACCATTAGGATTACTTATGAAGTATGAAATTACACGAAACTTCATAGATTGTGTGCGATTGCTTGTTATTGTTAAAAAATCCATTAAGATTTTGTGAACAGTACACGATTACTCAAAACTAAACAGATTCCTTCAAAGTTCATATACGATTACGAGAATTAATGTGTCGGATAACCATAATCGCCCCAATCTTCATCAAGATTAGGCAAAGAATATATGATTATTTGAATTACAGAAGTCATTGCAAGATTACGCATAGAAAGTTATCGAGATGTCAGATTCCAGCCACTATCATCCGTGCACAGTCTTATCTCATATAATCCCTCTTCTGAAAAGAAACAATGATATTTACTCCTTCTATTTCTATAGCTGGCCAGGTGTTTCCAAGTACTGGTCTTGCGCGCTACACTAAGCTTGGTGAAGCAGACGAGCTAATCTTGAATGAAGAATATGCAAAGGAAATCATGGGTATAATATTTCCTGTATCAATGATACTATCAGTAATATATTCACTGAATACTTCAAAACTATAGCTTAGAATAATATTCTCTGATACTACTCTTCGATATATTTTCAAGCAATTCTGTTAAGAATTTGTGGCTGGCCATAAGTTTTCTTAATATGCTTAGAGGGTTCCCTAGTTATTATTTTAGAGTAGAGTTGTGTAATATGTCTGTATTCTAACTGAATTGGTTTATAAAAAAATAGGGTTTCCTGCCAGCCGAATTTCGCTTGAGAAGAAAATGTTGCATTTTTATTCTTTAGAAAATGTTATTTATTTCTTGAGAATTCAAATTTGTCACAGACATTTTTCATTTCCTCTTGTGTGCTCAAAGAGCAAACGACTTCCAAGCAAAGGTTATCATAATTGTTTGCCATTTTGAAATGCCTGTGCTTAATGAATGGTATGTTTATTTTAGCTGCTTGGAAGGAACCTCAAGAGAAAACGGATGTAGGTATCGCTTTATTAAGCAAACAAAAGTTTTTGAATTAATTTTAGCTATCATGCACTAAAGCAGATTTGTTATAACGAGATTTTAACTAACTGATTACTGTTTTAACTTTCAACTAGAAATTTGATACTTTCTGATACTTAGAACTTCCTTTAGATCGTTAAAAACCGAAATTACCTGTGACGTCATGTCCACGAGTCTGTGTATCTATGGCGACCAAGTCTTGCTTAGAGCATGGAGAATAAATTAGGATTCCATAAATATATTAGATTGAGTGCGGTACAATATGATGCTATAATAACGATTAATGTAAGTAAATTGTACCAGGAAACATAGCCCGTTATCAAGTCAAACAGGCTATGCTCGAAATGTCGTTATTTATTTTAAAAAATTGCTTCCTGGTACAATTTACTTACATCCATCGTTATTATGAGAATAAATAAGGCCTCTTAATTCATGGCACAAGGATCTTGAGAATATGACTCCTGAATACGAATTTATAATACTATTCACTTCTGTTGTTGGCCAGTAACCATCTGATTACGACATAATATTAAAAGGACCTATGGCACCACAAATGATCTTAGTTTTTCATAATTTTTTTCTTCGCGTATTCATTCTTCCAGTTATTAATGTTTAGATAGATGGTTTTGCTAGATGGAATTAAAATATTTTATTTCAAACTGCTAGGCTGTTGCGGATGATGACACGTCCAAATCCAAGAAAAGAAAACAGCCAGATACAACTGAGGTATAATATAAATAAGTTGTTTTTCTTGATTATCAAAAATTTTGAATTATATAGCTTACTAGATTTTGCGTACAACGATAAAGATATAAGGATATAAAGATTATAAGGATTATGAAATTTTTGATGTAGTTTTGAGCTACAGCAATGTGATGCACTTTGCATCTACTAGTTTATAGCATATTTTTTTAATTTGGCGCCCTCTTTTACTTCTAAGGAAATTTCCTGTATGTTTCCTCATTTCATCAATTGATAAGATGTTTCAGAATAATTATATATTTTTTGTTATGACAGCTTTTTTCCTGCAGGCTATAGTTATGACTCAAGACCCGGCTTCAAAGCAGAGGTTAGCCGCAGCTCTTTATCTTTGAAAATTTCGCTCAGAAATATTCTGCAATAAACTGAATGAACAAACAACTGTAACCTCAGTAATTTTGCCTTTGTGAATTGTTTTTCTCAGTCACTGACCGTTCTCGTGTCCTTCTTGCGAAAGGCCTACGTAGTCACCAACAACATGACCCAAGTGTCCCTACTTTGCAGTCTTTTTGGCAGTAATTGCTACCCATTTCCAGGTTTTTGGTCTAAAAAGGGGGCCGTTCTTGTTCGAACCACCAGCAGTGGGGATGTTCCCCTAGTTTTAGAATCGCCATCTAGAATATTTACATAATGACATTTGACTAGCATGTGTTTTGAAATTGTTATTTAAAACTTCAAGCATCGTGCAAAGAAAACGTAGCTGTGTTTTTCAAAGAAGTAGAGTGGTCGTGTGCAGAGATTGAAATGAGAAATAAGAACGAAGACGCTTTGTTTGTTTTCTAATTTTAATACTCTCCAGCTACAGGAATCTAGTATTTGTCCTTATGTCCACATTTCAAAACACTTATCAAAAGAGGACTATCTCCGCCTTTATCTACATATGCCTTGCTGCTTCGCGATATCATCGTTATGGCTTTATCTCACAGGAAAACAGAATCTACAGAAGAAAAACCACAAGCATTTGTTCTGTTTACTGGATTAACTGGCCCTGCAGTTAATACTTACACGCAGGTTATTATTCATTTTCCCTTTTGTTATTCTTTTTATTCGCTGTAGTAATAGCTGTTCTCTTAAGTATTACAATCCTTGCCTTAATAGTTGAAATACCTACACAAAATCTTTGCTGTATTCAAAGTTGTCCGTCCACCCTCCCCTCTCTCCCTCCCCTCTCTCCCTCCCCTCTCTCCCTCCCCTCTCTCCCTCCCTCTCTCCCTCCCTGCTCTCCTTCCTCTCCTCCCTCCCTCTCTCCCGCCTCCCCTCTCTCCCTCCCTCTCTCCCTCCCTCCTCTCCGCTCCGCTCTCCTCGTCTTTCTCCTCTCCTGCCCTCTCTCCCTCCTTCTCTCGTCCTTGCCCTTCTCTTCCCTCCTCTCTCTCTTTCCTTGTCTCTTTTCTCTCCGTTCCTTCTCTCCCTCCTCTCTCCTCTCCTCTTCTTCTCTCTTTCCGTCGTCTCCCTCCCTCTCTCCCTCCGCTCTCTCCCTCCCTCTCTCCCTCCCTCTCTCTCCCTCTCTCCCTCCCTCTCTCCTCCTCTTCTCCTCCCTCTCTCCTCCCTCTCATCCTCCTTCTCTCCTCTCTCCCTCCTCTCTCCCTCCCTCTCTCCCTCCCTCTCTCCCATAATACGGGGGAAGGTTGAGGGGGAAAACATAACGGGGGAATCAACATAATACGGGGGAAGGGTGAGGGGGAAAACATAACAACACCTTTGATAACTTGGAATGGTAGTTAAATTTTGGGGTTGTCAACTTTAGAACGTGAAAATTTTGGTCTTTCAACTATTTTTGGCAGTGATGCTGATAAAATTATCCTTTTATCTATGTTTCGTTATTCCAAACAGATGTTGAAGAAAATGAAAGGAGAAATCGCCAAAGGTGTCAAGAACTGTACACATCTTATCGCTCCCAAGGTATTAAATGCTCTTCATTGCTTATAACGCAGTATAATTGGGAAGTAGAAGAGGGTTTCTTAATTAACTTCATTTGCATGGTCTTACGATTCTTTTTGACAAGCAATAACAATGCGAGCCTCGCCATAAGCATTATGTGTTCCTCATTCAAAAGATTCTTTTGCCCATTACTTTTGCTTGAGATATTTTGACATGGCAATTGGTAGGACTGTCTATGGAAGAAAACCAATTCTACATGTTGCATATTCTTTTATGGAACAGAAACTTTTGGTATTTGCTTAACTCTTTTAAGTCATTACGGATCTAACCAAAGTAGTCAGTTTTAGAATGTTTTCGTATATTAAACAGAAACTCGGTGCTATGCAGCTCAGTAGTTCGACAGAGAAACTCTTCCTGCTTGATTGTGAGATTTGAAGCTTATTCTCCTTTCAAAATACCAATGCTATCCCCACCAATCTTTTTATTGAATTAAACCATGTTCTTTTCTATCAAACAGATCACTAGGACAGTGAAATTTCTGTCAGCCATTTCTGTCGTAAACCATATTGTCACACCGTCTTGGATCGAGGAGAGCAACAAAGTTGGGTCCCTGTTGGGTATGTTTTTTAACTCTTGCTGGCAAAAAGGTTCCTTTTACGGAAATATATTTGCGAACATCTTTTTGTTTGTAGAACTTTTTGCTCTAAAATTAAATTGACAATTTTTTCGATCAAATGTCCTTTCTTAGGAGCTAGCAGAAGTCTTAAGTAGCAGATTGTTTCAACGATCATGCTTATCTACAGTAGCACACAACAGTTAGCTAAATATTGCATTTCCTAAGCAAACTTTTACATCACAGGGCTCTTCTATATGAATTGAGTTGTTTCTGAAATCAGTACAGGCTGTTATCGTTACCAGTTAAGGGAACTAATTTCGTTTCTTTGTTGCTTGGAGAATGATATTTTATTTATTTTCAGATGAGGCGGAATATTCCTTGAAAGATCCAGAATCCGAAGAGTATTTTGGTTTTAAACTTGATGTATCGATGCAAAGATCTCGCACTCGAAAAGTTTTTCAGGTGCTTAGAACTTTTTTGCAACCTTAGAACCTTAAACTTTTAATGCGAGCAAAAATATCGAAGGATAATTTTGATTTAGTGCACATTTGATATCCATCAAGAGTTTTTCAATTCTTAGATGTGCTTCTCTGTAACTGGCGTAGTTTCATAAAGCGTGAAGATTTCAGTCTTTAAGAATAATTGTTATTCCTTGTCGCTATACATTGGTCTTGTTTCTTTTCAGGGTCTCAAATTTTTTGTCACTCCCAAAATAACACCGGCTCCCGGTCCAATGAAAGAAATTATAGAATGTGCAGGAGGCGAGGTATTTTCTTTCCCACTTTCCAAGTCTTCAGGTCTTCATTTAATAACATTGTCACATCAAAATCTTCTCTATAGCTCAGAAAATGATTTTATTTTGAACTTTGTTACCAAAATTTCTCAAAGATGGAGCGGAATGGCAGCGATCTGTAACTCGCCCCTTTGTTTACGATTGATGAATTTTAGAAAGTTCTTTGCATTGTTGCCCCCAATTACTCTGAATATTTATCTTTGATAATCTTCTCTTTAAACTTTTTTTCAGATGGTTGAACTAAAAGATGGCGAATCTGCATTTGCCCAGTTTCTTGAGAGTAAAATCAAGGTATTTACTGCAATTTCGAATTTTTTCAATAGATTTTATTAGTTATTAGATTTTAAATTTTTCTATAGATCTCGGTAGAGTTTGAATTGAACCGTAAGAAAAAATTCACCAACTTTAGTTTTCTTTGACTGATCTATCATGCTCCTAATACTAAGATAACAAAATGTGAATAAATGAAACAACGCCTTAAAGATAATATAAGTTAAGAATTTAAACCATCTATTGCTTGCTTTTCTTCATAATATAACCACAGAAGAAGTTGTTGGTAATTTGTAAATACGATGTAGCACTTCCTTCTGCGAAGTGTGGTTCATATTTACATCTGTTCTCTGACTTGATCTTCCTCTTCTCAGAAAAAAGAAAACAGCTATGTTGTGACGTGTGAAGAAGACCGAGGTTTATGGGAGCCCTTGCACAAAGAGGGGCACGGTATGTTGCACTTTAGAAAAGAGTTATTTGCAGTATTGCGATTCCTTATCATTTTTAGGTCTGATTTTGTAGTCTGTTAGTCAACTTCCATCGTAGCAACACCAAAAATCAATACATAAGTTAGGCTTGTAGTTTATATGAATGAAAAATCTTTTTCTAGCAAAGTTTGGTATGTGTCGTTCAAGACCCACATGGAATTAAAATTTTTGCCCAGAATTTTTTTATGCTTAACATAGAATCAATAAAATATTCTCTTCTAGGTCAAAAGCCTTGTTTTGCATAACAGTTTTCGCAAAAATGTATGATTCTCTTATGCGAAAGAAAAAAACGAGTATGAAATGTTTTCTTTTTCTTGTATTTCAGAAGTCTACAATGTGGAACTCGTTTTATCCGGTGTCATGAAACAGGAATTAGAATGGGAATCATATCCTTTCCTGTAGCTGTTTTTAGATAGTTCAGATGTTTCAGGGATAGAGAATTTCAAAGTTTATCGATACTCCTTGAAACGTCCCATAATTACGAAAGGGTAAACTAACGTTTTTCACCCAGTGGCGGTTCGAAAATGGTTAGATATGGTTGTTGAGGTTGACTCTTTTGTTTAACCAATCGATGCCCATAAACACAAAATATAGTTGCAGAGTCCACACCAGAAAGTAAAATATTAATGGAGAAAAACATTCTTGACCACCACCTTATGTTTCATACACTGAATATGAAGAAAAATAGCCTTCTAGACGGTCATAAAATACTTCCAATTTTACCTCCTTTATTTAATTTACCATTCAAAAATATCTGAGTAGCATAAAGCGATGAAAAATTTAAATCTATGACTAAAAATTGATTTTGACAAACCCTTGTAAGACCATATGACTTTGGCTTATTGCTAAGTGGTGACGTAGTTAATACTAAGTTGTGAATCAAATAAATTCACAGGAAAGGGGCGCACCTGATTGGTTTGATGTTGGCCAATCACGTCCTTCTGTTTTCTGAAGCCCTGTTTATAACAAACCCACCTAGGCTCAATCCGGTTTAATTAACTCAGGTAAAACCCAGCGGCATAAATCCGGACTAACTAGCATTGTCATTATGTGGGTACATTCGAGATTTTAGTTGCATAATAAATTTGACAATGTCAATTTGGAAAAACTAATTGTTTAGATTTTCAGTAAATTAATAAAAATAGATTGAGATATCGTTTTAACCTTTGGTTTTTCGATTTGGTTTTCTTGAGTACCATCAATGACGTGACATTTTGGCCTAAAAATTTATTTGCTTCTGGATGTACCCTGCATTTTGTCTAATTGCTTTTTGCGTGCTTTCAATCCTTAACATTTATCAAGCATCGCTTTTAATCTGGGTTTTTGGTAGCATATCCACTGGCGTTTATCGCAGTTTCATGTTCATTTGGAGCATCGAAAGTTAATTCTGGATCATGTGCGACAATTTTCATATGAAAGTCAGTTGCAGCCGCTTGTTAATAAAAAACAGTTTGTATAGAAAAAACTAATTGTCTAGTATTACAGTAAACTAATTACTTTTTAAAAGGTAAAGATTAGAAATAGGATATATCATTTTTGTTCTTGTTTTGTATTATAACTGATGAGTGAATCAAATTTCCTAGCAACAATGGAAATTTGGGGCGCAACTAAGCGTTCTATATCTTTATTTTGTATAAAATATTGAATGGCCTAAATCCAATTTTTTTCAATGTAGCATAGGGCACGTCAACATATGTCATTACAAGGGACCTATGGTCATTCTTTGTCCCCATAAAAAATTATCAATGTTTACGAGCAGTCAATACGCAATTAATTGAAAGATGCGCGTTTTTCAAACACCGCTCCAAAAAATTCTGCCCTTTTAAGTTGCTGACTTTGTTAAAGAAAATACTTGTCATGAAATGCGATTTTGAAAATTTAAAATTTCCGTTATCATCAAGGAAATACTTTGCAATTTATTTTATCTTCATTGAATCCCCTCACGATATTATTTCTCTTATGACGAAACCAAAGTCATCGCCCCTCAAAAGCAAAATTCATAGATTTTCGCTTTTACTTCATGTATTACTTCATTACCATTTTTGTTGTATGCATTCCATATTACTATTGTAAACATTTTAACCATATTTGAGCTGAACAATTCGTATCAACTTATCACAATTATTACTTGTAAATTTTTCATATAACAGGCCAAGAAATGCAAGTATTCGTTTGGTAGTCAATAGACTTTGGTCCTCATTTATTTATACACTTTACTGGTATATTGGCAAAATACTGTTAGTTATTCTCTTGAACTGAAGTACCAGTTTTAACATCGTTTAAACCTTAAGAACCTGTAAATGAATCGTTCCCCGTTTCTCATCATAGCGATTAAATGCGCTAATGTGTTGTGAACTCTTTTTTGTAGCATGTTTTGTTTTTTGATATTGGGGTTATGGTTGTAAAAAATCAAAAATAGCGTGGAAAAGCGAAAAATTTTTGTTTTACTAGCAAATTTCTCAAATGAATGTCTTTTTGGAGCTTTATGTCAATGGGTAAGCATAAAAAAATATCATGGTTTTAAGAGCCAGTTAATGTGGAGCACTCTGGGACGTACTCATACACTTAGTACCAAAAGATCCTGTGCCAAAATTTTCGGCATATTAATTTTCGGTGGAAAAAATTTTGGTCATATTTTTTTCAAATTTTGGTGTGAATTTCGATGAAAACGTGAAAAGTTTCGGTGAGTTAAGAAGCGAAACATTTTCTGTAAGTTATTTCCTTTTCAACATAAAATTATCTGGAACGCCTTCATAAACGTTACGACAATCGATTATTTTATGTCGAACCAATAAATGGAACAGAAGAGAAGGCAAGA